AAAAATCCCTCCTGCTTTCCCACTTTCTGTATCTTTGCTGTTGCTGTACTCACTACCTGAAATGCTCATCCTTCATATCCCAGACTATGCATGAGTAACTATTTTTAAAATAGTATTATGTATTTACTTTTAAACAGCTGCTTTTTTTTTTTTAGTGATCTGCTCAGTGCCATTGCTTCTTCTTCCTTTTTTTTTTAAAGATTTATTTATTTATTTGAAAGTCAGAGTTACACAGAGAGAGGAGAGGCAGAGAGAGAGAGAGAGAGAGAGGTCTTCCATCTGATGGTTCACTCTCCAATTGGCTGCAACGGCCGGAGCTGCGCCAATCCGAAGCCAGGAGCCAGAAGCTTCTTCCAGGTCTCCCATGCGGGTTCAGGGGCCCAAGGACTTGGGCCATCATCTACTGCTTTCCCAGGCCACAGCAGAGAGCTGGATTGGAAGTGGAGCAGCCAGGTCTCAAACCAGTGCCCATATGGGATGCTGGTGCTGCAGGCCAGGGCATTAACCTGCTGCGCCACAGCGCCGACCCCATTTGCTTCTTTTTATTAAATTTATTTTATTTATTTGAAAGGCAGAGAGAGAGAAAGATCTCATTCACCAGTTCATTCCCCAATGTCCACAATGGCCAGGGGACAAAGCCAGGAGCCAGGAACTCAATCTGGGTCTCCCATATGGGTGGCAAGAGCCCAGTTACTTGTGCCATCAATGCCGCTTTCCAGGTCTGCATTAGCAGGAAGCTGGAATCAGGAGCCAGAGCTGAGAATGAAACACTCGTACTCCGATTTGGGATGTGGGTGTCCTACCTGCTGTCTTTTTTTTTTTTTTAATTTGTTTATTTATTTGAAAGGCAGAGCAACAGTTAGAGAAGGAGATACACACACAGAGAGAGAGAGAGAGAGGAGAGAGAGAAAGAATCTTCCATCCACTAGTTTACTCTCCAAATGGCTGCAACAGACAGGGCTGGACCAGGCTGAGTCCAGGAGTTAGGAACTCCATCCTCTTTTCCCACAGGGATGTCAAGGGCCCAAGTGCTAATGCCAACTTCTGCTGCCTATTCAGGCACATTAGTAGGAAGCTGAATTGGAAGCAGGGCTGCCAGGATGCCAATGGCCACTCTGATATGGGATGCTGGCATGGTAAGCAACTCCCTAATCCTCTGTACCACAACCCCAACCCCATGTTATCTTAACTGCAGGGCTTAACACCTACCCCTGTAATCTGTTATTGTTTATTTTTTGATTTTTTTTTTTTTTTTTTGACAGGCAGAGTGGACAGTGAGAGAGAGAGACAGAGAGAGAAAGGTCTTCCTTTGCCGCTGGTTCACCCTCCAATGGCCGCCGCTGCAGCCGGCGCACCGCGCTGATCCTGGCAGGAGCCAGGAGCCAGGTGCTTTTCCTGGTCTCCCATGGGGTGCAGGGCCCAAGCACCTGGGCCATCCTCCACTGCACTCCCTGGCCATAGCAGAGAGCTGGCCTGGAAGAGGGGCAACCGGGACAGAATCCGGCACCCCAACCGGGACTAGAACCCGGTGTGCCGGCGCCGCAAGGTGGAGGATTAGCCTATTGAGCCACGGCGCCGGCTCTGTTATTGTTTATTTTTTAACAGCATTATTTTTTAAAAAGATGCATTTACTTATTTGAAAGTCAAAGTTACAGAGATGGGGGAGAGAGCAAAAACGAGAATGAGAGAGAGATCTTCCATCTACTGATTCACTACCCTAGACAGCCGCAGCAGCCAGGGCTGGGCCAGGCCAAAAGCCAGGAGCCAGAAACTTTTTCCAGGTCTCTGCCTTTACCTCATATACCACAAAGCTGGCCCCTTTAATAGAATTACTGAGATATAACACATACTCTGTAATTCACCCTTTTACAGTAGATAAATTGGGTTTTAATATATTCACTTCAATCTATTCTATAACATTTTTTTTTTTTTGAGGTAGAGTTGGACAGTGAGAGAGAGAGAGAGAGACAGAGCGAAAGGTCTTCCTTTTCCCGTTGGTTCACCCCACAAATGGCCACGACGGCCGGCGTGATGCAGCCGGCACACCGCGCTGATCCGAAGCCAGGAGCCAGGTGCTTCTCCTAGTCTCCCATGGGGTGCAGGGTCCAAGCACTTGGGCCATCCTCCACTGCCTTCCCAAGCCACAGCAGAGAGCTGGACTGGAAGAGGAGCAACCAGGACAGAATCCAGCACCCCAACCGGGACTAGAACCCGGTGTGCCGGCGCCATAGGCAGAGGATTAGCCAAGTGAGCCGCGCCACGGCACCGGCCTCTGTAACATTTTAATTGCATGCCTCCAAAACAACTTCACACCCATTAGCTGTCATTCCCCTGTCTTGACACCCGCCCAGCCCTAGGTAATTCTGTTCTACTCTCTTGTTTATAAATTTGCCTATTCTGGACACCTTACGTAAATGGAATCATGCAATACTTATTTATGGTCTTTTGTGGTTGCTTATTTTACTTAGCATATTATTTCCAGGATACATCAATGCTTCATTCCTTTTTACTGTCAAATACAAAGACTATTCCATTAAATGCATACACTATGTTTCCTTTATCAGCTCATCAGTGGATGACTATTTGAATCATTTCCAGTCTTCGGTTATCATGAGAATGTTGCTGTCAACATTTGTGTACAAGTTTTCCTGTGTCCATGTTTTCACTTCTCCTGGGAGAATACCTAGGCATGGAGTTGCTAGAGCATATGATAACTCTGTGTTTAACTGTTTGAGGAGCTTTCTGCATTCTCACCAGTAATGTGTGATGGTTCCAATTTCTCCCAATTCTTGCCAACACTTGTTAGTACCCATCTTTTTGATGATAGTCATTCTGAGGGGTGAAAGCTGTATCTCATTGTAGTTTTGTGTTACATCAAATTTGTGATTCACAAGATCTTTAGAAAATATTTATGTATTTATTTAAAAGGCAGACTGACTGAGAGAGGGAGAGACACAGAGATCTTGCACCTGCTAGTTCATTCCCCCAAATGCCTGCAACAGCTGGGACTGAGCCAGTTTGAAGCTGGGAGCCAGGAACTCCATCAAGAACTTCCAAGTAGATGGCAGGGACCCAAGGACCTGGGTCCTCATCTGCTGCCTGCTGGGCACATTAGCAGAGAGCTGGATGGGAAGGTAGAGGCAGGACTCAGTCCCAGGCGCTCTGACGGGATGCGTGCATCACAAGAGACAGCTTAACCCTCCTTACCACAATGCCTGGCTTCCCCCTAGATATTTTCTAGGACAAGCCTAAGGTAGGTAGAGAGAATGGAAAGTTTTTGAATAAATGATGTTAGAGGTAGGGAGAGATATTGGAAAATTATTGAATAAATGGTGTTGGAGAAATATTGAGAAAATAATAGTATAGATGATAGGGCAAAGATTTAGAAGGTTTAACTCAAATAATTCAGCACAGGAAACTTAGCTTACTAGAATTTAAATCCTTGACAACAGAGATCCAGTTTATTTTTGCATACAAACTCAAGATATATGCTTATTGAACTGAACTGAATTGATGGGGACAATGAGATCTTTGAAAATCATGTGCAACTTCCTAAACCTGAGAGACACCTTTGAAGACATTTTCCCCACACTGCGTGCCCACACCAGGGGCAGATGGTACATTTTTACTACTTGCTTCCTTGTCCGTTATAACATAAGTCACCCTGGTTGGGACTTGATTCATATGAACTAATGCGAGTAACAGTCAGCCTCTGAAAGAATGAGGACCTGAGCTTGCCCAAGTGCTCTCATCAGTTTTACTCCGATTTTTCAATCTGTGTACCACTTTGTTCTTGGATCTGGTCCAGTACACATACCCACACACACACTTTCTCTCAGAGCACTTCATATATATATATATATATAGAGAGAGAGAGAGAGAGAGAATCTTAATATTCTTAAAAATCACTATTGATACCGTCTTTTCCTTATTGTTAACACTGAACTTCTGAAGGCATGTTGGCCACTGAATTCAGTCTTGAAACTTGGCACTGAGGAGTCATTTTGTTGTGTAGCAACCCCTATCCACAATGTCAGCCAATTTATGTCATATGGTTACAAAACTGCTGTCCTGTCTTCCAGCTTTTCTGAGTTAGTGTGACCTTCCAGAACTTTCTCTCCTCCTCCTCTGAAATGACCTTACATGCTCTCGGACAGGACAGGAACCTAATTGCAATGAAAGCTTTCACTGTGTTTCCTTTCCTACAGCCTAGGTTTTGCGGTGGTGGTTTTGGGAGAACCAGTGAGGTCTCTGTGTCACAACAGGAGATCAGAACAACATGTCTGAAGTCTAACCCCTAAAACTCCACCCCTTTTGGCCTACATATACTTCCTGAGGGAAGACTATGAAACTTCTGTAAATGACAATGATATCTGTTTCCCAACTCTCACTGTGAAGGCACAGACCTTGCCTAATCTTAATACCCTAGAAGAGGTCCAGCTCATAAGCACATGCATAATCTTATATAGTACTTTCTTATCCAAATGAAGACACTTTTGGCATGGAAAGGAAGTGCTGGGGAAAGGGGCATAAACCACAGCCTTCACTGGCAAACGTGGCATGGGGTCATGATACCTAACACACTTGGAGCCCCTTATCCTCTATTAGCAGAACCTTTCCTATTGGATACCCCAAATTTCATCTTGAAATTCTATGTGGTTGGGGCCAGCGTTGTGGCATGGGGATAAAGACGCCATCTGCAGTGCCAGCATCCCATATGGGCACCGGTTCAAGTCCCAGCTACTCCACTTCCAATCCTGCTCTCTCTTATTGCCTGGGAAAGCAGTAGAAGATGGCTCAAATCCTTGGGAGACCCAGAAGAAACTCCTGGCTCCTGGCTTCAAATCAGCTCCAGCTCTTGCAGCCATTTGGGGAATGAACCAGCAGATGGAAGACTCTCTCTCTCTCTCTCTCTCTCTCTCTCTCTTTCCCTCCCTCCCTCCCTTCCCCTCTCCCTCCCTCTCCTCTCCTCTGTCTCTCTCTCTCTCTCCCTCCCTCTCTGTAATTCTGCCTTTCAAACAAATAAATAAAATCCTTAAAAAAAAGTAAGTCTGTGTGGCTTATTGAAGAATTTAGGTGCTTTTTTCCCCTATTTCACTGAAATGCCTATTGATTTCAGTGTCTATGTTTGCATTGTTTACATGGCTCCAATGTTTTCCTGTAAATAGGAAAACTTTAATTGTTCCTGACCAAAAAGAGAACAGAAGTAGACTTCACACATAACAAAATTTCAAGCAAAAGCCAAAAAGCAGCATGGCCTTGGTAATGGTTCTGCAAGAAAAAAGTGAAAAGTGATCACAAGGGGCCGGCGCCATGGCGCAGTAGGTTAATCCTCCGTCTGCAGCGCCGGCATCCCAGATGGATGCCAGTTTGAGTCCCAGCTGCTCCTCTTCCAATCCCGCTCTCCGCTGTGGCCTGGGAAAGCAGTAGAAGATGGCCCAAGTGGGCCCCTGCACCCACATGGGGGACTGGGAAGAAGCTCTTGGCTCCTGATTTGGATCAGCGCAGCTCTGGCTGTTGGGGCCATTTGGGGAGTGAACCAGCGGATGGAAGACTTCTCTGTCTGTCTCTCCCTCTCACTTTGCAAGAATCCATAAAGCTTCAACAAAGCATCATACAATATATTTATACTAATTTGAACTTAGTTTTATTATAACATTTAAGTTAAAGTTTGTCTTGGTTTTATAAGCACATAGCTATCTTACACCTATAGTTATGTGAGAACATATTAAGAACATGACTGATACTTTTTAAGATTTCCAAGAATATTTAAAACGTTAAAAACCAATGCTGGGCCGGCGCCGCAGCTCACTAGGCTAATCCTCCGCTTTGCGGCGCCGGCACACCGGGTTCTAGTCCCAGTCGGGGCACCGGATTCTGTCCCTGTTGCCCCTCTTCCTGGCCAGCTCTCTGCTGTGGCCAGGGAGTGCAGTGGAGGATGGCCCAAGTACTTGGGCCCTGCACCCGCATGGGAGACCAGGATAAGTACCTGGCTCCTGCCATCGGATCAGCGCGGTGTACCAGCCGCAGCACGCTGGCCACGGCGGCCATTGGAGGGTGAACCAACGGGAAAAGGAAGACCTTTCTCTCTGTCTCTCTCTCTCACTGTCCACTCTGCCTGTCAAAAACAAAAACAAAAACAAAACAAAAAACCAATGCTGATATGATACCAAAAGCATGGACAACAAAAGCATAAACTGACAAATGAGATATCAAAGGAAACAGTCATCAAAGAGAATAGGCAACCTACAAAATGGGAGAAAATATTTACAAACTATACATATGATAAAGGGTTAACAGCCAATACATGTAAGGAACACATACAAGAGCAAAAATGTCAAAAACCTGATTAGAAGTGGACAAAGAATATGAATAGACATTTTTCCAAAGTGGACATACAAATGTCAATGAAAAGATGCCCAACACTGTTAATCACCAAGGAGATACAAATCAAAACCACAATGAGATATCACCTCATACTTGTTAGGATGGCCATTATAAAAAAGCCAAAAAATAGCAAGTATTGAGGAGAATTTGAAGAAATTGGAAGTCTGTGCTCTGCTGAAGGGAATGTAAAGTAGTGTAGCCATTATGGAACAGTATAAAGTTTCCTCAGAAAGCAAAAACTGAACTGCCACGTAGCCCAGCAATACCACTTCTGTGTATTTATCCAAAATAATTGAATACAGGATCTTGAAAAGATGCTTGCAGTCCCATGCTCACTGCAGCATTATCCACAATAGCCAAGATGTGGAAAGAACCAGAATATCCAACAACAGACGGATAAAGAACGTGTGGTACATGCATATTATGGAATATTATTGAATTTTTTAAAAAGGTGAGGAGGACATTTGGCCTACTGATGCCACTTTAGACACTGGCATCACATACCTGAATGCCTAGATTTGAGTCCTGGCTCTGCTCCCTGTTCCAGCTTCCTGCTAATGTAGACCCTAGGAAGTAGCAGTTGACAGCTCAGAGTTGGGTCCCTGACACCCATGTGTGAGACCTGGATTGAGTCCCTGGCTTCCATCTTTGGCCTTCCCAGGCCCAGCCATTGTGAACATTTAGGGAGTGAGTCAGTGGATGAGATGCTCCCTCATCTCTCTGCTTTACAAATTAATTATTTTTTAAAAAGGAGATCCTGTCACATGCTGTAACATCGAGTTTGAGGACATTATGCTAAGTGAAATAAGCTAGTCACAAAAAAGGCAATGATTCTAAAGTAGACAAACTCATAGAAGCAAAAAGTACTTGGAGCCAGGGACTGCAGGATGTGAGAAATCAGTTGCTGTTGAGTGGGTGCAGGGTTTTAGTCATGCAAGATGAAAACATTCTAGAGATCTTTCGTGCAAAATGTACATATAGCTAATAACACTGTACATGTAAAATTTGTTAAATCTTATGGTTTTTACAAGACTAGTGTCTGCTAATACTAACTGATAGAATCAAAAAGGGAGAGAACGATCCAACATGGGAAGCAGATACAAAGTAGACTCACAGAATGGCAGATGTCCTAAATAGCACTCTGGCCTCAGAATCAGCCCTTAAGGCATTCGGATATGGCTGAAGAGCCCATGAGAGTATTTTAGGCATGGAAAGCCAAGACACTCTTGGGCGGGGGGGAGAAGACCTAAATGAAAGATCTCTGCGAGTGAGATCCCAGTGGAAAGAATGGGGCCATCAAAGAAGGAGGTACCTTTCTCTGAAGGGAGGAGAGAATTTCCACTTTGACTATGACCCTGTCGGAATAAGATCGAAGTCGGTGAACCCAAAAGGCTTCCATAGCCTTGGTAACTCATGACTAGAGCCTAGGGAGATTACTGACACCATACACAAGAGTGTCAAATTGTTAAGTCAACAACAGGAGTCACTGTGTACTTACTTCTCATGTGGGATCTGTCCTTAATGTGTTGTCCAATGTGAAGTAATGCTATAACTAGTACTGAAACAGTATTTTTACACTTTGTGTTTCTATGTGGGTGCAAACTGATGAAATCTTTACTTAATATATACTGAATTGATCTTCTGTATATAAAGATAATTAAAAATGAATCTTGATGTAAATGGAGTGGGAGCGGGAGATGGGAGGGTTGCAAGTGGGAGGGAAATTATGGGGGGGGGGGAGCCAATGTAATCCATAAACTTTACTTTGGACATTTATATTTACTAAATAAAAAAAAATCTTGTGGTTTTTAAAGAAAATGTACTCCTTTTTTCTTTCTTTGAATAGCAGTGAGACAGACAGACTGACAGACAGATCCCCCATGCACTGGTTCACTCCCCAACAACAAATGGAGCTGGGGCATGCTGACTAGGAGCCAGGAGCTCATCCTGGGTCTCCCATGTGAACAGCAGGGTCCCAGCTACTTGATTCATCATTACAGCTGCCTCCCAGGGTCCACACTGGCAGGAAGCTGGGGACAAGAACACCAACAAGGGCTTGAACACAGGCAATCCAAGACGGATGCAGACATCCCAACTGATGACTTAACCACTATGCTCAATGCCTGCCCTCTACCTTTTAAATAAATGTTAGGATATAAGGTATGCACGCTGATGCTACAAAATCTTTATGTATGTGTGTATGTATGTATACAACAATGGATCAGGTGAGCATATTAATCATTACATGTCTTTTACAATTAAAAAAAAATCAGTGCTTTGCCTTGATTTCTCTCTAATCCAACTGTGCCCTCTGGTGGGCATAATAGTTGTTAATAGATGTCAAATAGTCTGCTCCCTTTATAAATGTGACCTTTCCAAATTTATCTGTATGTCAGCTGATGGAAGACAATAATTTCTCTGTAGAAACAATGATATAAATAGTGGCAGATATTGCAGAACAGCCACCAAAACCCACATAAATAGTACTTGAAATGGTACTGATGGAAGCCCTATGTCACTTGATCCACACCCTCTTTTTCCTCCACCATCGGCCTCCTTGCTAGTAAAACAAACAAAACCCTGTACACCCAGTCATTGCTACCACTACTACTGCTGTGTCCTCATCACCACCAGAAGTAGAAAGCGAAGAGAGAAAAATCTAACACCTTTATTAGTGGGCATCCTCTTTTCCCTGGGCCTCCAAGGAAGTGGACCAGCTAGAAAGAAATTTAAAAGGTCCTTTTTTCCCCTTTCAGAATCTTGGGGGGCATATATTTTTAAAAATCCTTTCCTCTTGCTCCACACATATTCTCTCTTAGCTCTCCACAGCCAGGGTCACCTTCCAAGTTGAAGGCAACAAGAAAAGGAAGGGAGGACAGGAAAAAAAAAAATAGAGAGAGAGAGAAAACCCTTTGACCCCAGGTGTCCTCATATCCAGAAGCCAGAATCGCTCATCTGTATAACAGACCTTGCCTCTTCCACAGACCTTACCTCTTCCCAGCTTTGTAAAACTTCGCCTCACTAGTCCCTGCTAGGGGCCAGGTGGAAAAAGGCAGGGCTGAGGGAAGAAACTGTCTGGGTGATGTCCACCATAGGAGGAACTATCAAAAAGTTCATGGAAAATGACTATTATGAAAACATTATGAATGATTTCAACATCTTGCCCACATTTAAAACTTTATTTCCCTTTCCATGAACTTTTTGAAGTTCCTTCATATACCATCAACACTTACTTGATGTGGTCAGCTTCATTTTTTGCTGTGTAATTCCCAGAGCCCCTCTCTAGAAAGGGAGCAATCCAGAAAGTGAATGACATGGACTCCACTGTCTAAACAGATATTTTAAAAATTCCATTATAGAGGAACTAGAAAATTCTGTGGAATATCATCAAACCCACTCAAAGTGGCAAAAGAGAAAATTATGATTTTAGTAAAGTAGGAATAACAAGGAACTGGAAGAGCATATAGACAAGTAAAACACTTGGATTGGTTAGGATCTAATGGTGGTGAATTATTTAATTTGGAATCACCGTAACATATCTACAATGTATAGTTTTAATAACAAATACAATCAGGATTGAGTGTTTAGCCTAGCAGTTGAGATGCCTGTATCCCACATTGGAGTACTTGGGTTTGAGTCTTGGCTCTGGCTCCTGACTCCTCCAGAACAAGGACTTCTCTTTCTTTGTCATTTTGCCTTTCAAATACATAAATCTTTTTTTTTTAAATTGCCATCAAATTTATCTCTTCAAGACATTTCCAGGGCTGGCGCTGTGGTGCAGCAAGTTAAAGCCCAGTCTGCAGTGCTTGCATCCCATATGGCGCCAGTTCAAGTTCCAGATGCTCCACTTCCAATTCAGCTCCCTGCTAGTACACTTGGGAAAGCAGCAGAGGATGGCCCAAGTCCTTGGGCCCCTGCACCCACATGGGAGACAGGAAGAAGCTCCTGGCTCCAGGCTTCAGATCAGCTCAGCTCTGGCCATTGTGGCCATTTGGGAAGTGAACCAGTGGTTGGAAGATTCCTCTCTCTCTCTCTCTCTCTCTCTGTGTGTGTGTGTGTCTCCCTCGCTCTCTGTAACTCTGCCTTTCAAATAAATTTTAAAAATCTTTTATAAAAGATAATGTACTCACAAGTATTCCTATGCACAGTTACACATGGTATTAATTACCAGTGAGTGAGATTAGATATGGAAATATACTATCAACTATAGGCACTTCAGGCTCTTTCCCTTTACATAATATGTAGAATATCTAGATTTCAATAAAACTAAGAAGCTTTTCATTTATTTCCTCTAGCACTTACCTGTGAAGCAATTAGGAACTTTAAGTATAAAATAGCTATTAGTTAGCAATTAGCAGTTAGCAATTATAGTTCAAATCAAAGGCTAAAAAAACATTCTGTTTACCCTTGGAAAGAGTATTTCCCACACAGAACTTGTATTTATGGTGCTGATTACAGCCAACTATCCTTCATGGTCGTAGACAGTAGAAACCGTCACTTGTCAATTAATGACATTTGTGGTAACACACAGTTGGATTTTCAATTTAATATTCAAATCAATCTGTTCTCCAGTGCCATAAAGATCAGGAGCTCTTTGAGTATAGTGGCTAGTCCCAGTAGTGCTCTAAAAGGTAAGGCGAGGAAAGGAATCCTTATTAATGTCTAAATATTCAATCACCTTTGGTATTATTTTAATAATAACAAAAAAATACCATTAGTGAGTCCTTACAACATGCCAGACACAGCAAATTTTTTCAACAACTGTTCATTTAAATCTCTCAGCAGCCACAGACTGTAGATTATATACAGTACCTTTACTTAGAGAGGTTACTTCCCAAGATCCAAAACTAGCACAGAACTGGGATTTAAACTCAAGTATTTTGGTCCAAAAACTGCTGATCTCATGGTGTACTTTTATATGTACATATATAATTTTTAAATTATATTATATGGGCATATATATATATAATTTCTTAAATAGTAGAATGGATAACTATAGAAGTATGTGGGAATGGTAAATGGTCATGTTTATTCTGTAAAGGGTGTAGAATCTTCAACTCAACCTGAAAACTGGCTATGTGTATTTGTTTTTGTAGGTTCTTTATAACCTTAAAAAGTGATTTATGTGGATTTCATATTCAAGATTTTTCTACAATTAGACTTCCTAAAGAATAATTACTTTGTGGTTGAGGTCAATATTTAGCTAAAATGTTAGAGATGTATGACCAGTAATACAGATGGGATATTTAATTATTTTCTCACAAAATCACATAGCAGAAAAGAATTGTGATAGGCTAACACTTCAAACTGTTAATTTCTGGTTCCTTCACCACCACCCCCCAACTGTGCAAATGAATAGACATGAGTCATACAGAGTAAACTGAAGAAAATCAAGGTGGCAAATATTCAACCATTAACTCAAGAAAAGCCTCTGACTTGGGCCTTATATGGAAAGATTGCAGGTACATTCTGAGAGAGCTTTCACTCCTAGAGATAAAATATGATCTCAGGGCTGAGAGGAAAAGTAATATGGACACGCAAGCACATGAAAGAGAGACCCCAAGTACTCGCCAGTGCCTGGACTCACCAGCCCAGAGCCAGGGTGCTGCTTAGAAACTGAGGCAGAGCTGAGCTGATCCCCTCAGTGTCATCCTCTGGCTTCCACCACTCACCAGTATTCACGGGTCCTATTTAAGTGAAGTTTGCCTATGTTCCAAGAAGCTCTCCATGTTCCTCTGACTGACCCTCTCTTGGGAGTAACCCCCATGTAACAGGCGGTTTTGCACTCCTCTCTGTCCCCAAAGTGGAGGGTAGAAGGCTTGGACTCTGTATTGAGGTTGGAGAAGGTTTAGAGACTCTGTTGGGTGAAGCTGGTGAGGGCTGAAAGAAATGGTTTGGGTCCAAAGAAAGCAGGTTATTTGCAATCAGTGTGAAATCATCTACTGAGCCAGGATAGCCGAGGAACACTCTCTCCCATTTCCAAGTGTTAAGTAGCACATTGTACAGGTAGAGAAAGTTACAGCTGGAAGAGAACTTAGAGAACATGTAGTCCCACCCTGCCACCTGACAGAGGAAGCCCAGCAAGAAGCAGAATTGGGCTGGAAAGGGGACCTGGGCTTCAAGTCAAACAACTGCTGATTTGACTTACTTAGGACCAGAAATAAAATGTCCTGAGCATTCTCTTCACGATACCACAGACAAATCTGGCTTGGGAGATCTTTCTTTGGAGGTAGATTTTTCTCTGATATTTGCTCGTCATGATCAATGTAACAGAAATCCCAGATCCTAGGTTCTTACAAGTCCAAAATATTAGCTCAGTGTGATAAAGTTAAGTATTTGTTAAATACTTTGGCTTACTGCTGTAAGATAGGAGATTGAAGACATTTTTTAAATGGAGAGTTGTATCTGCTCATGGGTCACTTCCAAGATACTTTTCCACGAATCTCTATGGAACTGCTCAGATTAGTCCACAGGTGCCTTTAACAGAGTAGTAGGATGCACTGCATTTTATTAGAAGAGTCCAAGCTTCTTTCCCCGTGATACGTAAGGAACTGACATTCTGTGCAGTTATGCCTGTGTTCCACTGCCCATTATTCCATGAATACTTCCGCACTAGGATTTTCATAGGTGGAGAAGGCAGGTGTCAACCTGTTGCTCAGCACTTCTCTAATGTTCACTTTTTTGTAAAGATTTATTTATTGAAAGAGTTACAGAGAGGCAGAGGCAGAGAGAGAGGGAGGTCTTCCATCCACTGGTTCACTCCCCAGATGGTCACGATGGCCAGAGCTGCGCTGATCAGGAGCCAGGAGCTTCTTCTGGGTCTTCCACACGGATAAAGGGACCCAAGGACTTGCGTCATCCTCTACTGCTTTCCCAGGCCATAGCAGAGAGCTGGATAGGAAGTGGAGCAGCTGGGACTCAAACCAGCACCCATACGGGATGCTGGCACTGCAGGCAGCAGCTTTACCCACTATGCCACAGCGCCGGCCCCTCTAATATTCACTTTGAGGTGTGTACACCTGCAGTTTCTCTGGATGTTTCCATGGCTTCACATCACTCAACATTATCACACCAACAAAGCCCATCCTATTACATTGCATTTGTTCTCCATGAGCTCCCACTTCCTTTTCAGGTTTTGTGTCTTAGAAAACTTTTTTTTTCTCTGAAGAAACACTAGATTTTAGCACCACCTTATGTATGTCAGAAGGGATTTAATAGGTTTTTTTGAGGGATAGCAGATCAAAAATTTGAAGACTTCTCTTAGAGAAGTGTTGATGTAACATTCAAAAACTTCATTGACAAGGTACACAGATAGCCAGATGTTAAATAAATCAAAAATGGTTCTCATAAATTTTAAAGCTGATTCCTTGTTGGCATTTTACACTCTTACTAATATTTTACACATTGTTTCTGTTCAATCAATTGCAGAACTTCATGAAAAAGTTGAGTGGTAGGTTGGGTAATAGGGTAACACAACGGGAGTCTTTTTTTCAAGGCTGGCATGTGAATAAAGTACCTGCAAATCACAAAAAGAAAACAGTTTTACAAAACAAGTATTTTCACATTGGTGACTTCAGTACATTCACATTCACTGCTGTAGTGTTTTTGGGTGTGGGTATCCAAGTCCCAAGATGTAGTCAGTATTGTGAGCTTCCAAACCTCCTCCATTTGTGACCTATAAAATCTCTGATGTGGGTGCCTTTCAGCTCACCGAAGTGCTTAAGCAGAGAAGTGTAATTCATTAATAATGTACTGGTCATTAAAGAATTAATAAGGAAGTTGGGACTGTCCTCACCACAGTCTGAGATGGGACTTCTGCTTCTTGGTTTCTCAGGCCATGCATGCACTGTGGGAGCTGAAACGAAAGGTTCAGGCTGAGGCGATCATTAAGGCCACCTCAAGAGGGGAGGAAGGTTCATCTCCATAGACTTAGTAAAAGTCTAGGGGAGGCCAACTGGAGACACAAACATGAGAAGGCTGTTAGTGATCCCTTTGGATGACCTAGAGAATGGCTCTCAACTGCGTGTACATCAGAATCACCTACCACTGACCCGGGCTCACTTGGAAAAACTGAAACAACTTCTGCTTTTGAGACCTGGTTAGGAGTATTTTAAAATAGTTACCCAGGTGATTCAAATGCAAAGTGAGTTGAAAATCACCAGTTTAAAACAAGGACCACAAATCTAAATGCCCGAAAATAACATGAGGGGCCAGCACTGTAAGTATGGGCACTGGTTTGAGTCCCAGCTGTTCCTCTTCTGATCCAGGTCTCTGCTGTGGCCTGGGAGAGCAGTAGAGGATGGCTCAAGTGCTTGGACCCCTGCACCCACATGGGAGACCTGGAAGAACCTCCTGGCTCCTGGCTTTGGATTGGCCCAGCTCCAGACATCGCAGCCATTTGGGGAATGAACCAATGGATATAAGACTTTTCTCTCCCTCTATAACTCTACCTCTCAAATAAATAAAATCTTAAAAAAAAAAGCAACATGAATTAGGGAGTTAGGGTAAAAGTAAGCAAGAGAGAGAGAGAGAGAGACTGTGTTAAGCTAAACAAACACGATTCACTGTGGGGCAGCTGTAGTGAGTTCCAGCCAACTATTGTCATCTATTTGTGTGATATCATTTTTGCTGGTGGTCCTGCTTTTTAAATGTTCATAAATAAGTTTTTAAAGTTGGGTTGTAGGGACTGGAGCTGTGGCGCAGCAGGTTAATGCCCTGGCCTGAAGCGCCGGCATCCCATATGGGCGCTGGTTCAAGACCCGGCTGCTCCACTGCCAATCCAGCTCTCTGCTATGGCCTGGGAAAGCAGTAGATGATGGCCCAAGTCCTTGGGCCCCTGCACCCATGTGGGAGAGACCAGTAAGAAGCTCCTGGCTCCTGGCTTCAGATAGGCGGAGCTCTGGCCATTGCGGTCAATTGGGGAGTGAACCATTGGATGGAAGACCTCTCTCTCTCTCTCTCTCTCTCTCTCTCTGCCTCTCCTCTCTCTCTGTAACTGACTTCCAAATAAAAAAATAAAAATAAATCTTTTTAAAAAATTGGGTTGTGTGATATGTGCTACAACATGGATGAACTTTGTAAACATTATAGTAAGTGAAAGCCCAACACAAAAAACTACATGTGGTATGATCCCATTTAGATTTCTGCATGAAATCTCCAGTATAAGCAAGTTCACCAAGACATATTCTATTAGTGATTGCAAGGGGCTGGGGGCTTTGGAGAGAATGCAGTGTGATTATGAATGGGTACTGAGTTAGCTTTGGGATGATGAAAATGTTCTGCAATTAAATAACAGTGATGGTTACTAAGCATTATGAAACAGAGTAAAAACTACGGAGTTATACAGTTCAAAAATGCTAATTTCATGCTATGTGAATTTTACCTTAAAAAAAAAAAGAAGGGGGAGGGGCTGAAATTGGATTTTTTGGACCAACTCAGCAAAAAATAAATTCCTTTAATGAGCGCCAGAATGGAACCTATGGTATAATACCACATGGGGTGTGGTGGGGGGACGAAGTCTACAAACTGGGCCCAACATTTTTAAAAAACCCACTCTAAGGCCAGAATGTAAACCTCCACATCCTTTAATATCTCTATTCAGACTAGTGACAAAGCTACGCCCACTGCACCCTTTTCATCTTAAGTCAAATGCAACCTGGTTTTTTCCTTAATAGGTGCTAATGCCGGTCTGTACTGCTAAGTGCACTTGGCTTCGCCAGCCTATAAATAGAAGTGCAACCCCTGAGGTGCAGAACAAGCTAGCTGATGAAACAATGCTGGCTACTGCACTTTCTTACTGTTCTGCTACTGAGCATAAGAGAGGGGTAAATGAAACATACAGACAAAACTTAATAACACCATTATTAGCTGTTCAATTGTGTCTTTCCAATGACTGAGTTGAGCTCACAGTCCATAATTTATCACCCTTTTAATGGGATTTGTTACTCTAATTACTCACAGCAGGTGAAAATTATTACTACTTCCATAAGACACAGGATGCAGTAAAGAGAAAGAGCAGGAAACAGTTCTTCAAAGAGAAAGGATGTCTTACTAGTCTTTTTTGTCCTGAGAACATACTTCAAGTGGCAGTGGTTCTCAGAACTCCCCCAAATCCTACTTTACTTCAAATCAAGGTGAAACATTATTAAAACTAAAAATAGAGTTTTCTGTTTTTACCTAATCTTGTAAGTGCTGGGCCATGTTGCAGGTTTGCGTGAAAATTAGAAATGAATGGTGTTCTGCAGATTCTGTTCATTATTTTTTTCTTACCTGAATTCTTCTCTGTAGTCATTCCTAATATACTCAGCTAGGGTCTTGCTGTACTGCAGGCAGCTCTTGAGGATATAAAACTGCTGGTACAACAGAACTGCTTGGCATGGACTTAGCAGCTGCAATGAAGCTGAAAGCCCCTTCACCACTTGTTTCACAATACTGGCCACAAAAGTAACCTAGACAAGGGAAAAGCAGTTATCTGGAGGCTGCCAGCTGCCCACAGAAGCACCTACTTCAGCTGCAGCCTCATTGACCAATCTAGGCTGAAGCCCTCACCACCCTTCTGTCAATGCCTTTGCCCTACTTCTCGCCAAAATGTTACTCAGTACTAGGACACAGTCCACCTGAGGATTCAATTTGCAACTTCTTTAGCACCTTGTTCTAAGCAAGTGAAACAATCAGAGCAATTGACATGCAGGTGCATTCAATGATCCTGACAGTGTCTTTGCTCCGAAATTTCTCTCACCTGGTCTGTTTCTGCTCATCTGGTCTAGAGCTGGGCTAACTGAAGCTTTCAGCAATGCTAACAGTCTTTCTGCCTTTTGCCAACTTTCATCCTGGCAGGCTTCATGGTCACACTGGCCTCAAATTCAGCTCAGGTCCTCTGGTGAATCAACTTTAGAGGTTGCTAAAGAAACTTCTCTATTGCTTGGAACCCTTGGGACCCCAGATTTCCACATATCATTTCAGATGATGGGGTCTGCACCCATTGCACAGAATAAGCAAGGGGATTGCATCTTGCTGAGATGAGCCTCCATTGCTGTTAGTGATTAACATTATGACACTCTTTGAGGTGGGTCTGTAGACCAGCTAGGGTCTGTGTGCTGCTGAAGGAGCCAAGCTTAAGGGCTCAATCTCTGAATAAGGTAGTTGGCTGTTCTACGAACAAGTGTACCTTCTTGTCACCCTTGTCCTAAATGTTGTAGGGACCTGAGAAGGAGAATCTAGAAAAAAAAAAAAAAAAAACAACCCAGCCCAAAGCCAGGAACTACTGATGATTACCTCATGTCAAGTCACCATTATTAATGAATATTTAATGTGAATATTTCCTATTAAAATATGTGTTGATTGAATATGCATGAATAAATAAAAGGAAACCAAGTTTGAGGAGTTAAGAAGATATTAAAGGATAGAGCCTTTATTAGAATTTATTCAGCAGATATTTTATTAAGCATCTATTATGTAACTAGCACAACAGACATAGCTCCCACCCTCATGGCACCAACAGTTGGTTGGGAGAGAGACACATGGTAATCATCATAATGGACTAGGTTCTGCTGGGGTAACAAACCTCCCTATGTACGATTAATTGCTTTGCATAAAACAACAGAGGTTCATTATCAGTTTACACTGTATGTCCCTCATGGGTTGGTAAGTGACGCTGCTCGTTGTAGGCACTCAGGGCCATCAGATGGCAGGGTAACCACCATGTAGAACATCACCAGTTCCCATGCCAGAAGGAAAAGAGAAAGCAGGGAAGCATGACTGGCTCCTCTTAAAGCTTTTGTCAAGAGATCACAGAGGCCACTGGGCACGTCTGACCTGGTCAGAGGGGTCAGAGAATCATCCTCTGCTGCACCATGAATAGGGACCAGCTAGGTGGAGAAAGGAACAAAAAGCACTTGGAGCCAGACATACTGTGTGGTTTCAATGTGTCCTCCAAGTTTATGTGTCGGAAATTGAATCTCCAGTGCCACAGTGTTGGGAGAAGGAAGCTAGCAGGGGTGCATTAGGTCACAGTGGCTCTGCCCTCATGAATGGATTAAAGCTGTTATCTACGTGGACACTCACTGGAGTGGGTTCATTATCACAGAGTCAGTTTTTTATCAGTGAGTTTGCTCTGCCCTTCTGCCTTCTGCTGTGGGATAGCAGGAGGCCCTTACCTGATGCAGCCCTTTAATCACGGGCTTTCTATCAGAACCATGAGCCAAATAAATATCTGTTCTTTCTAAATTACCCATTCTGTGGCATTCTGTTATAGCAAACACAAAACAGACTGAGACAGGGGCCATCGTAAAAACTCTGCGATGGAGTTGTTAGGGGAAGAGATGCTGTCAGTGTGTTAGAAACCCACAGAGCCAAGTAATGAGGCTGCAGGGCCATAACCCTTGGGCCTTAGAGGTCCTATCAGTGAGTTTAGTTTTTATTAAAAGCAGAAATCTGATAAGAGATTTAAAGCAAGAGATGATTTTTACTTTAAATAGCTCCCTCTGGCTGTAATCTGGTGTGAAGATAGACAGACCATTTAGAAGCAAGTGTAACATCAAGGTCAGAAATGGTGCTAGTGTGGACTAGGGTGGTATCTTCCAGGACAGGTGCACAGATGACCCAGATGTTATATTCATATTATTTAAGTGAAACGTTAATCTTTTTACTTAATTACAAAGTCAATAATTTGATACTATGTTTTTTGCACATATCCTAGAGTCTTTCATGAAATAAAGATCATTTTTGATACTATTTCAGTAAACAATCAAGTCTCGATGTAAAAACATTCTATTTCAATTAAATAATGATCAAATTTACATTTTTTGTTTCTGTTTTACAGACGTGACTCTGTCACAGAGAAAATCTGTGTTTTAGTAACTAAGCACAAGGGCATCTCTTGGATGGTTTTGTTTTCCTAATAGATACTTACTATGGGAGGACAGTTTTGTAGAAAGGACATCATCCAGCTAATGGCAAACTTTGTGGATCCCAATCCAAGATTCCCCTCAAAAATCAAGGAAATAAACAAGATACAATCATGAAGCTCAAGTTCTACTGAAAAGGACAGCCTCAAATACATTTTTATCCTGACTAATAAAATAGTTAAAATTAGTGTTTAGTTAAATAAGCCAGCTGAGCACTTCATAGCAAAAGTAGTATTTGAATGAAATAATTCTAGTTCATTATTAATAACACAATTTTATATATGTAACATAATAGTTAAGTCATATAATACACAATAAAATGTACCTGTTGAAAGACAAGAAGTATCTCATATAAAAGTGCTGTAGCTGTATCTGTATATTCCAGGATAAGCTTCTGTAACTAGAATTTTCAAGAGTAATCAATGCAAAATTATAGGTCAAGCTGGAAAATAATAATTTCTCTTAATTCCCTGTAAGTTCTTATACTCAGTCAAAAGAATTATTGATTAACTGAGAATATAATTAGTGTAGACCACTTTTCTGTTCCATTTGGTTTGTTCATTCTCAAGAAAGCAGTTCTCATAAAAAGACCACACATTTAATAGTGGCTCAAAAAGCAAGACAAGGAAAGAAGGTAACAATGACCCACAGAAAACTAACACAAAAAACTGCAGAATTGTTTGGCAAAATCAAGCAGATCAACAACCCTACTTCCTTTCAAGAATGTTAGAAATATGCTCCCAAGAATGGAGGTGGGAGATTCTCTGGGAAATTGGGGCTTATTCCTGACATGTAGTTAAGATTTCTCCTGTGGTGCGAGTATATATAAAGCTCAGAGACATTTTGTTGTTCTCAAAAACTCCAGCACTTGGTGACGCTGTCTTCTGCTCCATAAACTACTTAAGGCATGAGAACTGTCTGTAGGCAAGATACCAGCCAACACATTATCCCCAGCCATGTTCTTGCAAGGCAGGGCTCTCTTTGACATCTCACTCTATTAGACCTTGGAACCAAAATGTATATTACCTGTTGATGGCCACACTAATAGCCAGGTGCAACACATCAGCAAATCCCAAAATAGGAAAACATGAAGTTGAGACCTATTCATTCTTCCTACTTGATATTTTCATATGGAAATACCATAGGAAAATCAAATCAATCCAAAACCAACTCAACATCTCCCACTTTGAACCTACTCTTCTGGCTGTAATTCTTACCTGACTCTCAAAACAAAACCTAAAAGTCATCTTCTAATCTTCACATTTTATTTTCACATCAACTTATCAACCCAATTTCCTAAAAATTCTGGAATCCACCTCTTTACTACCATCCTCTTCTTTTTAACTCATTCAACAACTATGCATCAGACACTGTGCTAGGTGCTGAGGATAAAATGGCAAACACACACAGTTCCTACTCTCAAGGAATGGAAGACCCAGTTGGGGACCAGACATCAATGTAACAATCAAATAAACAAAGACATAGTTATAAACTGAGACAAGGGCTGGAATCAAACAGAAGAGCCCCCAAAGAAAACTAGTTTGGGGTATTAAAGAAGGCTTCCTTCTGGCCACATCATCTGTCACCTCTACTACTTCATTAGCTTCTAGCTTCTGTGTTTGTTTTAAGACTTATTTATGGGACTGGCACTGTGGCCTAGTGGGTAAAGCAGCCGCCTGAAGTGCCGGCATCCCATATGGGTGCTGGTTCGCATCCCAGCTACTCCATTTCTGATCCCGCTCTCTGCTAATGTGCCTGGAAAAGCAACAGAAGATGGCCTAAGGACTTAGGCTCCTGAACCCACGTGGGAGACCCAGAAGAAACTCCTGGTTTCGGATCACCCCAGCTCCAGTAGTTGCGGCCATTTGAGGTATGAACCAGCAGATGGAAGATCTCTCTTTCTCTCTCTCTGCAACTCTGCCTTTCAAATAAATAAATAAATCTTAAAAAAAAAAAGTATACAATACCAGCCCCTGCATTAGCTTCTTAACAGCTCTGCCCATCTGAGTCTTGCTTCTGTCCCTCTCTCTCATCCCTGATCCACTCAATCATTGAAAGCAGTACTGTAGACACTGTATTACATGTAGATGCTCCATTACAGACTGAAGTCTTTTTTTTTAATTTTTTTTTTTTTTTTGACAGGCAGAGTGGACAGTGAGAGAGAGAAACAGAGAGAAAGGTCTTCCTTTGCCATTGGTTCACCCTCCAATGGCCGTCGCGGCTGGCGTGCTGCGGCCAGCGCACCGCGCTGATCCGATGGCAGGAGCCAGGTACCTATTCTGGTCTCCCATGGGGTGCAGGGCCCAGACACTTGGGCCATCCTCCACTGTACTCCCTGGCCACAGCAGAGAGCTGGCCTGGAAGAGGGGCAACCGGGACAGAACCCGGCGCCCCAACCGGGACTAGAACCCGGTGTGCCGGCGCCGCAAGGCGGAAGATTAGCCTATTGAGCCATGGCGCCGGCCTGAAGTCTTACTCATATATTCACAAGTGTTTTCTTCTTCCCCATCATATTATCAACTGATGAAAGCTGAGGTTGAGGGGCTGGCACTGTGGTGCAGCAGATTAAAGCCCTGTCCTGAAGCTCCAGCAAACCATATGGGAGCTGGTTCTAGTCCCGGAGGCTCCGCTTCTGATACAGCTCTCTGCTATGGCCTGGGATAGCAGTAGAAGATGGCCCAAGTCCTTGGGTCCCTGCACCCACGTGGGAGACCCAGAAGAAACTCTTGGCTCCTGGCTTCAGATTGGCGCAGCTCCAGCAATTGGGGCCATCTGGGGAGTGAACCAGCAGATGGAAGACCTCTCTCTCTGTCTCTGCTTCTCTCTGTAACTCTGTCTTTCAAATAAAATAAAATAAATCTTAAAAAAAAGAGACTGAGTCTGTTTTACGTGTTGCTGGACACCACTGCCTAGCACACTGTTTGTTCATAATAGATGCTGACTAATATTTACTGAGTGAATGAGTAAATGAGAGTTGTCTAAAACGACTCTGCCTCAATGTTTAATAATGATCAAAACATGTCCCATTCTTGAAAAAAATTCTGAGTGACCTGGCTGAAAATAAACTAAAAACAAACTGATTCATTTTCTCAGAATACATGCTTTCTAGGCAGTCTGATATTTCTGATGTTTTAGTACAGCCTTAAAAAACAAATAACTCCCACTGAAAGTTTTCACTGCTCATTCAAGTAAAGAGATGGTAAATTAAAGCATGAGAGTTAGCTCTACATGTTTTTTAAGATTTTATTTATTTGAGAGGCAGAGTTACAGAGAGAGAGAGAGAGAAAGGTCTTCCATCCGCTAATGGCCGCAACGGCCAAAGCTGGGCTGATCTGAAGCCGGGAGTTTCTTCTGGGACTCGCACATGGTGTAGGGGCCCAAGCACTTGGACCATCTTCCACTGCCTTCCTAGGCCATTAGCAGAGAGCTGGATCTGAAGTGGAACAGCTGGGACATGAACCATTGCCCATATGAGATGCTGGAGCCACATGTGGAGGCTTAGCCTACCATGCCACATAGCTGGTCCCAGCTCTAAAATTTCTAAGACAGTGTGTTTCTTTTTAACTCATCAGACTTCTACTATGAAATTACATATACATCAATCTTGTATTCAGAGACAGACATAAACTGCATTATCTACTTTAGAAAGAATGCTAATTATTTTCTGTGGTATGTGTATATAGCTTAAAACATATCAAATATATATAGAGAGAGCTTAAATATATAGCTTAACATATATAAAATAGGTATATTAGTATTGACTCAATAGTTATCTGAGTTTTTACATTAAAGACAAAGCCTCTACTCTTTAATTATATTCTATATCCTACAATATCATGGTCTACATTAAAAGACAGAAACCCAAGATCTCTTAGAATTATCTTTGGCCTGTCACCATAATTCTCATCTTACCTCAGCATCAAAAGGCATTTCAACTAAAGTCGCATCAGCCAACTGGATATCAAACACAGGACAAGATTTTGGAATCTGAGGCTTGCTAATCAAAATTTCCAAGAGATTAGATAGTGTTCCCCTGGGAAATAAATAAATAAAAAACAATTAATGGCAAAATTTTAAAAAGAAAAATTCCCAAGCTTTCACACACTGGATTTAATTACATTTTTAAAAGATGAAACGGTGGGCACGTAGCACCGTGATTAAGATGCCACTTAGGATACCCACCTCCAGTATCAGAGTGCCCTGAGTTTGTATCCTGGCTCTGCTCCCAATTCCAGCTTTCTATTAATGTACACTTGTGAAGCAGCAGGTGATCGTTCAAGTACTTGGATCCCTGCCACCCACCTAGGAGACCCAGACTGAGTTCCTGATTCCTGGCTTTGGCCTGGCCCAAGCCTGGCTATTGTTGAGTATTTGAGGAGTGAACCAACAGATGGCAGTGTGCGCTCTCTTGCTCTTTGTCTTTCAAATATGAAGCACTGTAGACCATTTTGGACTGAACTTCTGGACACTTGCACATGCACATGAATATCTAGATACAAGAAATTTAAATGAAAATTTAATTTCTTGGTCTTTTGAATCAGCCAAAGGATAGTTCTAGAAGTTCACATAGCTTGTAAAGCACAGGACATCTGGATTTAAGGGAGATTTGAGTGACTTCAATTATAGCAGTGTTTTCCAGAGGGCTTTTTATGGATTACTAATTACAAGCAATATTATAATCAAATAGATTCTGTAGTTAAATTACATTAGGGAGATAATGGTTAACCCAAGTTCACTGAGAATCTTCATACGAAGACTTCTCAGAGGCCCTACCATGCTAACATGTCCCGTGTGTCTCTGAGACCATGAAACAGTATGCAACATTTTTTAAAAGTTTTTTTAATTGGGCCAGCGCTGCGGCTCACTAGGCTAATCCTCCGCCTGTGGCGCTGGCACGCAAGGTTCTAGTCCCGGTCGGGGCGCCAGATTCTGTCCCAGTTGCCCCTCTTCCAGGCCAGCTCTCTGCTGTGGCCAGGGAGTGCAGTGGAGGATGGCCCAAGTGCTTGGGCCCTGCACCCCATGGGAGACCAGGAGAAGCACCTGGCTCCTGGCTTCGGATCAGCATGGTGCACTGGCCGCAGTGTGCCAGCCGTGGCGGCCATTGGAGGGTGAACCAACGGCAAAAGGAAGACCTTTCTCTCTGTCTCTCTCTCACTGTCCACTCTGCCTGTCAAAAAAAAGTTTTTTTAATTGGCAAAAATTGCACATATTTATAGAATACAATATGATGTTTTAAAATATCTATACATTATGGAATGGTTAAACCGAACTAATTAGCATGAATTCCTTCGTGTGTCATTTTTTGGTAGTGAGAACATTTAACATCTGCTCTTGGCTGGGGCTGGTGCTATGGCTCAGCAGGTTAAAGCCCTGGCCTGAAGTGCCCCCATCCCATATGGGCGCTGGTTCTAGTCCTGGCTGCTCCTCTTCCAATCCAGCTCTCTGCTATGGCCTGCTATAGTGAAGGATAGCCCAGGCCCTTGGGCCCCTGCACCCAAGTGGTAGACCAGGAGGAAGCTCCTGGCTCCCGGTTTCGGATCGGCGCAGCTCTGGCCGTTGGGACCGTCTGGGGAGTGAACCAGTGGATGGAAGACCTCTCTCTCTGTCTCTATCTCTTTGTAACTCTTCCAAATAAATAAAATAAATCTTTTTAAAAAAAATCTGCTCTTGGGTGAATTTCAAGTATGCAGTACATCGTTATTGATTATAGTTGCCATGTTGTGCAATAGATCTCTTGAACTTATTTCTCCTATCTGACTGAAATTTGTACCCTTAGTTCAACACCTTCCAATCCCACCCACTCCCAGGCAACCACCATTCTTTACTTTCTGGGGGTTTAATTATCTTCACATTCCACATTTAGCTGAGATCCTGTGATGTTTGCCTTTTTACACCCAGCTTATTTCACTTAGCATAATACCCTCTAGGTTCATCCATTTTTGTCACTAACAGGATTTCCTAATATTTTAAGGCTGAATAATATTCTGTCCATTTTGGTCACATTGTCTTTATCCATTCATCTGTTGCTGGGCATTTAGGTTGATTCCATATCCTGGCTGTTATAAATAATGTGTAGCATTTATTAAAATGTTTATCCCAAGGTTTTTTGTTTTTGTTATTTCAGAGCCCTTGTTTTTTAAAAAAATTGTATTTGTTTATTTGAAAGTCAGAATTACAGAGGAGGGCAAAACGAGAGCAAGAGCAAGAGCGAGAGCGAGAGAGAATGCTTCCATCTGCTGGTTCATTCTCCAGAGGGCCACAACAGCTAGGGCTACACCAGGTCAAAGCCAGAAGCTTCTTCCAGGTCCCCTACATGGGTGACAGGGACCCAAATACTTGGACCATCTTCCATGGCTTTTCCCAGGCTATCAGCTTGGAGTTGGAATCAAAGTGGAGCAGCCAGGCTTGAACCGGCTCCCATATGGGATGTCGCGGGGGCAGCTTTACAAATGCCGGCCCCCTTCAGAGCCCTTTATTAAAACAGCATTTCAGGGCCTTACTGCTCTACTGAACACCATTAGCTATTAGTTAATAAAACTAGTATTAAACTTCAGGTCTTTTGCTTTCAAATGCTGTACTGTCTATTGTACTTTCAAGTGTACTGTCTATTAATCTGCAGGAACAAATTACTTAAATGCCATTACATGTCTGAATAATATGCCCTTCTATTTGAAAATAAAAAGACCAAACAAAAATCACAATTCAAAATGTGCAGCTGAGGAGTTGAGTTAGTAGCATCATCCCTCTGCTATTTTTTCCAATTATAATTTTTTGACAGGCAGAGTGGACAGTGAGAGAGAGAGAGAGAGAGAGAGAAAGGTCTTCCTTTTGCCGTTGGTTCACCCTCCAATGGCCGCCACGGCTGGCACGCTGCGGCCAGTGCACCACGCTGATCCGAAGCCAGGAGCCAGGTGCTTCTCCTGGTCTCCCATGGGGTGCAGGGCCCAAGCACTTGGGCCATCCTCCACTGCCTTCCCAGGCCACAGCAGAGAGCTGGCCTGGAAGAGGGGCAACCGGGAAAGAATCCAGCGCCCCGACCGGGACTAGAACCCGGTGTGCCGGCGCCGCTAAGTGGAGGATTAGCCTATTGAGCCGCAACATTGGCCAGCATCATCTTCATATGTCAAGTACAGTCCCTGTTTGGTTGAAAAGTAACTGGAAACAGACCACAAGAAAAGTCAATTGTCTAATTGAAGACAATATCAGAATAGGCTTGAAGGATGGAGTAGCGAAAGAATTCAAGATATGACCATACAAAAATGCTCTGTAACCATAAGCATTCCTTTCCTACTGGAATAAAGGAAACTATAAACTGTCCTAGATTAGTAATATTTGAGGGTTCCTAATCTTACAATCATTTCAGTCATTGTTGCGATGAGCAGCTAATGATTAACCAAAATTCTAATAAAAATACAATTTCCTTCCTTTTTCCAACTCAAAAAGTAACTCTAGAAAGCTCTGTGTCAATTTCTCAACAAAAGCAGGATATATCATACAGAGTATTTATTCAGGCTACTTTAAAAGGCCAATTTTACTTTTGAAGACCCTTCCAAAATCAACAGAGCACTCCTTTTAGAAGCCTTTCCTGATACTAAGTTTGAAGTGACATTCTATTAACCATTATATTTAATTACAGTCTTTTATTTCCACCAACAGCTTCTTTCCAAAGCTAAGGTCACTTACTGTGATAATATATGAATTCAACCATAACAGTACTAAAATATGAAAGGATATTTCACATTTCAAGAAGAATACAGCAAAAAGGGTTGAACTAATAAAACCTCCATTTATGAAAATAATAAAGAGGGGAATGCTGAAATGAATAACTGCGTTTTTATTTGCTCAAAGGGAATTTAATTTGAAACACACCCCTTCTGCCAACTCACTTCATTTAAAATCCATTAAATCAATAATGGACAGAAGGAATTTTAATCAAAATGGTAGTTTCATCCTGAAAATATTGACTTACTATAAGATTGACAGCTCAGCCTTAAAAACAATCCCAACTATTTAATACGTTCATTGTTCAGATGTTATTATTTCTAACACTTGAAGTTTTAATGCACTATAATATCTTTTAAAACAGACTTTGAAGGGCAAACTCACATCCTCCTAAGTCAGTGGGTGTTAAGATTCTAACATGACTTCCAAGACACCCACCTCCCTGCTACACATACTCTATTTAAGTTCCTTCGCCTTAAGTATGGGCTGGACCTGTGAATATGTTTGATGACCACTCTTGTGATTATATTAGGTGGAGAGGGTGAAGGGGTTTTGCAAATATAATTAAGGCCCCCAGTTAGCTATTTTTGAGGTTAGCAAAGGGAGATTCTCCTAAGTGGGCAGGATCTAACCAGGTGAGCCCTATAAAAGAATGCTTAGTCCTTCCCTGAACTCACAGAATGCTCCTGCTAAGAAACAAGCCTTCATGGGTTCTGCAGCTCAAAGGAAATTATTTCCACCAATAATTACGAAAATGGGCCGGTGCCGCGGCTCACTAGGCTAATCCTCCGCCTAGCGGCGCCGGCACACCGGGTTCTAGTCCCGGTCGGGGCGCCAGATTCTGTCCCGGTTGCCCCTCTTCCAGGCCAGCTCTCTGCTGTGGCCAGGGAGTGCAGTGGAGGATGGCCCAGGTGCTTGGGCCCTGCACCCCATGGGAGACCAGGAAAAGCACCTGGCTCCTGGCTCCTGCCATCGGATCAGCGCGGTGCGCCGGCCGCAGCGCGCTGGCCGCGGCGGCCATTGGAGGGTGAACCAACGGCAAAGGAAGACCTTTCTCTCTGTCTCTCTCTCTCTCTCACTGTCCACTCTGCCTGTCAAAAAAATAAAAATAAAAATAAATAATTACCAAAATGAGCTTGGAAGAGAACCCCAGGCCTCAGACAAGACTGTGGCCCCAGCTAACACCTTACTTGAAGCCTTATGAAACCCTGAGCAGAGGATGCAGTTAAGCAATACCCAGATCCCTGATCCACAGAAACTGTGAGATAATAAACATATGTTGTTTTAAGCCACTACACTTGTGGTAATTTGGTACTGGCAATAAAAGACTACTACCACTATATTGGACATTTACTGTGCTAGGTAATGCTGAGTCATGTGACTTGACCCAATGCTTATCAAAATTGGCTGAAAACAGTCTCTGCTACAGCAATTCAATGCTCTTGTATTGAAGGACATAAAAAAAGTCATATCAGGTAAGAGGTTTGATATAGTGAAACTGATATAGTAAAAACAAATTCAAAATAAATATCAAAAGCAATACTTTGCTACAGAGGTAAGGGTGATTTTTTTTTCAACTTGATTAGAAAAAGGTAGGGAATGAGCCGGCGCCGTGGCTCAATAGGCTAATCCTCCACCTTGCGGCGCCGGCACACCGGGTTCTAGTCCCGGTCGGGGCGCCGGATTCTGTCCCGGTTGCCCCTCTTCCAGGCCAGCCCTCTGCTATGGCCAGGGAGTGCAGTGGAGGATGGCCCAGGTGCTTGGGCCCTGCACCCCATGGGAGACCAGGAAAAAGCACCTGGATCCTGGCTCCTGCCATCGGATCAGCGCGGTGCGCCGGCTGCAGCGGCGGCCATTGGAGGGTGAACCAACGGCAAAGGAAGACCTTTCTCTCTCTGTCTCTCTCTCTGTCCACTCTATCAAAAATGAAAAAAAAAAAAAAAAAAAAAAAAAAAAAGGTAGGGACTAAAAGGTAGAGAAAAAGAATAACAAGCTTTACTAATAATTTTCAAAATAGTCTTGAGGGGCTAGCACCGTGGCTTAGCAGGTTACGCTGCCGCCTATGATGCCACATCCCAGATGGGTACCGGTTCAAGACCTGGTTGCTCCACTTCTGATCCAGCTCCCTGCTAACACTCCTGGGAAAGCAGTGGAGGATGGCACAAGTGCTTGGGCCCCTGCACCCACATGGGAAACCCAGAATAAGCTCCTGGCTTCAGCCTGGCCCAGCCCAGGTTGTTGCAGCCATTTGGGGAGTGAAACAGAGGATGGAAGATCTGTCTCTCCCTCTCTCTCAGTAACTCTGCCTTTCAAATAAATAAAATAAATCTTAAAAAAAAAGTTTTAAATCTCCATTTTGGACATTGAGGAAGAGTGGCAGTGCTACCAACTACATAACGAAGTAGGCAGAGAACATAATTAACTGTATTGTCCTTGTTTGCTGTATAGCAGTGATCAGCAAATTATAGCCTGCTGGCCAGATTCAGTCCACAGCCTGTTTTTGTATATAAAGCTTTACTGGAACATAGCTGTGCCCATTCATTTATGTACTATAGTTGCTTTTGTGCTACAATGACAAAGTAAAGTAGGTGCAACAGAGGCTGTATGGCTTAAAAAGCCAAAAATATTTGCTGTATGGCAATTTACATAAATGTTCGCCTACTTCTGCTATAAAGCATAGTACGCCCATAATCCTTAGCACATAGCCAGTTGCTTAAGAAACACAAATGAACAGCATCATTAACATTTATCTTTAAAGGACATTAATAAATAGCCTAGGGAAATGCTACCAAAAGTTCTTATCCTTCTCCATGATTCATGTCTTCATCCTTCTGAATTCAGGTAAATAATTGATGAGGGTAGAAAAAAATTAAGATTTTTGGGCAAAGTTGTATAAATACGTATTAAAAATCAAGCAGATAATTCAAAGCATGCAAACACAAACTTTCTGTAGCAAAGATGCCATTGTCCTCCACTAAACATTTTTCCATTCTTCCTTGTAATGACAGATGCCCTTATCACCATCCAAAGTTTAGCTAGACACATAGCTGTCCAACTACAGACATATTTCCTAGCTCTCTTGAGTTCTCACCAACAGAACAGAGCAGAAGTGTTATATGCCTTGATTAAAAAGGAAATGTGTTTGCCCTCTACCTCTCTTTGTGCTTCCCACAGTCTAATGAAGGCATGAAGAGCAGCCTGCTCAACCACAGGACAAGGACAGCATGACAGAAGATGGCAGAGGCACAGGAGGTGGCTGGCGGATGTGGGGGAAAGCTTGACTGTCTACTCTGGACTGTTATATGAGAAAGATTATCAATTTCTGTCTTCTTTGGATCACATATTTTAAGAGTGGCTTTATTACAGCTGCTCATCTAATATGTGTATAAATCCCCAGGTCATTCACTGTGAGGTCACATAATTACAGTCACGTGCCACATAATGACACATTCATCAACAAAGAACTGCATATATGATGGTGGTCTCATAAGATTACAATGATGCTGAAAAATTCCTACCCTCTAGTGATGCTGTAGCCATCCTCACATTGTAGCACCACACATTACTCACATGTATGTCTATTGCTGTGCTGTCAGTCATATAAAAGCATAGCACATACAATTATGTACCAAAAAAGTCTGTGGGAAAATGGAATTAAAATGTTTATTTAAGTGCAAATAATTTTGAAATCCATGCACAGCTTTTTCATAACCCACATTTTAACATTTTAAAGAGCCCTCATATGCATTGATTTCCAAAACTTTTTGTACCAAAGTAAACTTATCTTTTAATTCAACTTTTCTATGAGCTTTTAGAAGTATCCTTGTGTGTATTTATATGTGTGTATATATGAAGTTATGCCATTTAGGCTAGTGCAAGTTTACTCCATATTTTCACAATGATGAAATTGCCTAACAGTACATTTCTCAGAACACGTCCCAATCCCTAAACAAAGCCTGACTGTACATAGTAAGTACGGCTACTTATAACTCCTGCCTTTACAGTGTAGTTTTTCTGTTATGTAAATATAAACGTACTCTGGAAAATTTCTAATAGAGACCTCCTGGCTTTTAATATAGGATGGGCCATTTGGTCTTTTTCAAGTTCACCAGACTAGCACAAAAGATGAAATTATGCTAAGAAAATCTTTGTACTCTTAACAATCCAGGGGAGCAGAGAGGACTCAGCATGTGCCAATTAATGTGATCATCACAGAAGGAAGTGAAGAGACAAGAGTGTATTATACTTTCAAGGGGATTGAACAGAAAATGAGCGATTCAAGTTTTGAAAGACACTCAACAAGAGTAGTTAATGGATTCCAACTACAAGGTCCCAGTGTTTTCCAAAACACTTTACTTCTTAGCTGCCAGTGTGTTCAGACGTGATGATTCAGTTTCTGTTTCTCTGAACATCAGTCCTAGGGTCTGCAGAATTTCAATGCATACCCTAGAGAACAAACAGAAAAGAAGTATGGGAATGGCATGATTTCATTAGATATTCAGAATTCCACAAATGTAGATAACCTTGCTAGAAATGCTTTCAGATAGATATAAAAATGCAAAGGCAGGACATTCTGTACATGAAACTGCCAACATTGGTTGAGTGCCTCTCTGATTGCTACATTCAAAATTATCTGTTGAATAAGTAACTGGATGGTCACAATTAAGTCATTTTCATATTTTTATATGTTTTTCAACAGTTTTTAGGATAATCACACACTATTTTAAAAGCATTTTTTAAAATTTAGAGTTTTTTTCAAATAGGTTATAATTGGCCCAAAACATCAAGAGTAGGACAGGTGTTTGGCCAAGAAGTTAGGAAACCTGTATCCAAGCAGCTGGGTTCAATTACCAGCTCTGCTTCCCATTCCAGTTTCTTGTTCACGCACACCTTGGGAGGCAGCAAATGATGATTTGCGTACTTGGTTCCCTGACACCTATGTAGGAGATCTGGAGTAAGCTCTTCGCTACTGGCTTCAACCTGACCTTGCCCTGGCTGTTGCGAGCATTTACAGAGTGAACTAGCAGAAGGGAGTTCTCTCTCAATTACATTAAATTGATTAATACATTTTAAAATCTCATAGGTAAAAACCAGAATACAGGAAGAGGTGTCTTTCCTCCAGACATCCATTTCTCCCATTAAAATTAGAACAAAATGAATGCTATTTTAAAAAATTCATGTGAAGCAAAACTTGCAGCACCATTAATCATTAATACCACATATGTGTCATCCAGTGCCTTCAATTTTTCTTAAACACCCTGGTGGGGGGTGATCTATGATTACCTACTTAATACTTACACCAGCTCATCAGCCCTTTGGCTTTTATTTTGGCGTGCATTCTTATCCCTAGACTCTGGCAAATATTCATGAAGTTTGTTCACTAGGAAATAGAAAAGGTCACTGGTCTGTGAAAACAAATGGAAAAGAAGATGGTAATTAAGAGTTCAGTTGTCAGAACTTGCTATCCTTACATTAAAGTATGAGGAAATGACTTGTTCTTTGGTGAGATAACTGAGTAATAATGTCTCTCATTAAAACTAGAATCACCCAAATTGACAACACACTGTATACATGGAACTGGGCGATCGCCAGCGTGGAGCACAGAGAAGGAGCTAGGGAGGGATGCCAGGGCGATGTTATTGAAGCCTGGCTTGGTTATTAATATTGAAGATCCTCTAGGAATAGGTATGCAATATCAGGCAAGTCAGTCACTTTGGAAAATAGGGTTACTATAATTCCTGCCTTCCCAAAGTAATCTAGGCTTTGTTAAGGTATAACAAAATAATGGATAGGAATACTGGCATTTAAAAATACTGACTAACACAATGATACATGTATGGTATAGCCCTTAACAATGGTGCAAAACGATGTGAATACTTCTGGCAATGAAGCAGAAAGGCAGATTTCCATTTCAGTCTAAATAAACACAGACTTAAGAATTGGGGAACTAATATATTTGTGCTCCTATTCAGTCTCATGAAGTAAATTGAGCATGATAATAGGCACTGGTCCATGAAATCAGGCAGTTGGTACTAATGAGAAATATAATGGAATTGCTTTTCTGTTCCTGTATTGTTCATTGTTTCTCCAGGATTTCTGATGACTATTGACAACCAAGACTCTTTGCTTAGGCACTTATCTGTGTGCTTCTATTTAGGTGGCATACCACCAGAAGAGACTGAGGATGACAGTGTAGAAAGAGAAAGAGGAGCAGGAGTGGGACATATTCCAGCAACTGTCAAAAGTGCTTTGCTTATTTAGAACCTGAAAAATTAGTGGGGCTGGTGTTGTCACTTAGCGGGTTAAGCCACAACCTATGGCACAAGAAAAGTGGAATAGCAGGTCAGCCTAGTCTCATCATCCTACATGTGAAGCAGGTAGAATCTAAGAAATAGCGAGACCTGCCTTGAACTGTGGGAAATTGTGTACTTCTGCACTGCTCAGTGAAGTGTGGCTGCAGGGTGGGTGTTTGGCCTGGCAGTTAAGATGCCAGTTGGGATGGTCACATTCCATAATGATATGGCTTGGGTTGAGTTCTAGCTCAACTCCTAATTTCAGCTTCCTGCTAATGCACACTCTGGGAGGCAGCACATGGTGGCTCAGGGACTAGGGTCCCTGCCAGCCACATGGGAAACCTAGACTGAGTTCCAAGCTCCTTGGTTCAGCTTGGCCCAGCCCTGACCTTGTGGGCATTTGAGGGAGCAGATAAGGGAGCACTTTTTCTCTCTCCTCAGCAAATAAATAAATAAATAAATAAAATGGTAGTAGCTATAAATGAGGCCACTGGCCAGAATTAGGATTCAACAGAGAAACATCAACATGAACTCAGCCCTAGGCAAGGCTCACCTCCTCACCTGGGCCTCATTAGCACCACACCATTTGTTTTGGCATTTCCTTTTCTTTTTGTTTAGAGCCTGCCAGCTCCTCCTTGAATTTTTTATATAGGATATAATTTACTGTGAACTATAGTTGCCCCAATGGGCAGTTCACTTGAGCTCCTTAATGCCCTCGCCTGAAACTGAAAATGAAGTCTGTCACTTACTAAGTGAGAACTAGGTTGCCTTGACTTCCCAGGGGTCGTACTTTATAAAATATCAGTCTTACACTTGTAAGTCAGTTGTAAAAATTATTTGTGTTATACGGGAAGCTACACTGAACAACTTCATGAAATCTACTTTCCCATCTCACCGTCTATACCGATATGTGCATCTCGCACGCCAAAAGTTTCCCCTCTTACCTTGATATTCTGTGACTCTACTAACCCAACCAAGGGGCTACTATTTTGCTATCAACCCCTCCCTACCACCCCAGTGCACATTTTTGATAACACCACAAATTTGCAGGTGCTAAGGTGTGGCTGTACTAAACTTAATCAGTGGGCCAGCATTGTGGTGTAATGGCTTAGCCTCCACCTCTGGCACCAGAATCCCATATGGGCACTAGTTCAAGTCCCAGCTGCTCCTCTTCCGATCCAGCTCTCTGCTATGGTCTGGGAAAATAGCAGAAGATGGCCCAAGTCCTATGGCCCCTGCACCAGAGTGGGAGACCTGGTAGAAGCTTCTGGCTCCTGGCTTCGGATTGGCTCAGGTCCAGCTATTGTGGCCATCCGCAGAGTGAACCAGCGAATGGAAGACCATTCTGTCTGTCTCTCCTTCTCTCTGTAACACTTCCTTTCAAATAAATAAATAAAATCTTTCAAAAAATGTAATTACAAATAACCAAATCTTTAAAGAATTAATCATCCTTTTAAAATACAGCATCAGCATAAAAGACATTTTTATATTTTAATTTATGCCTGAATTTAATAAACAGGTGAAACAATTAGAAAAGGTTAAAAATAAAAGAAAACACTTACTTTCCAGAAGAGCTTTTTCAGGATGAAGTTTTTCCGGGCTGCTGCTTTAAGCTCCATAATTAAACAAAGTATCTTGCTCAGAGTATTGTCTTTAAGAAAAAGTTCAGATTTAAGTTGACTGAAGTGCTTAATTTTCTCCTCAGATCTACAGAAGTGTGAGAAATTTTTCCATGAGAAAATTATAAGAAACAGCAGGTTAGGAATACCAACAATTATTGACAGATTCGTACAACTTTGTTAGCAACGTAATTTTAATATAGTTTTGTACTTTCAGCCTTTACTCATCAGTAGTGAAACTTGCTCCCCAAATGCAAACTGGTAAAACCGCTATGGAAGACAGTTTGGAGATTCCTCGGAAACCTGAATATAGCCCTACCACATGGCCCAGCCATCACACTCCTTGGAATTTACTCAAAGGAAATTAAATTGGCAAATAAAAGAACTGTCTGCACCTCACTGTTTATTGAAGCTCAATTCACAATAGCTAAGACATGGAATAAACCTAAATGCCCATCAACAGAAGACTGGATAAAGAAATTATGGGATATATACTCTATAGAATACTATACAGCAGTAAAAAATGAAATCTGGCCATTTGCAACAAAATGAAGGAATCTGGAAAACATCATGCTGAGTGAGATAAGCCAGTCCCAAAGGGACAAATATCATATGTTCTCCCTGATCAACTAACTGAGCACTTAAAAGGAAACCTGTTGAAGTGAAATGGACACTGTGAGAAACAATGACTTGATCAGCCCTTGTCCTGACTGTTGAGGAACAACTTTCTATTTTATTCTTTTTGGTGTTTTTTTGTTCTGCTTAACACCATTGGTTTAACTCTTTGATTAACACACAATTATTCTTAGTCATTTAAATTTGACTGAAAAGTGATCCCTGTTGAATGTGGGAGTGGGAATAAGAGAGGGAGGAGATGTACAGTTCAGCACACACTCACTCGGACTTACCCCTAATGGTAGAGCTACAGATGTGCCAGGGGATTCCAATTCAATCCCATCAAGGTGGCGTGTACCAATGCCATCTTACTTGTTGGAGTGATCAGTTTAGGTTCATGGTTGATTGGGGGGATGGAATTGAGTGTCAAGGGGATTGCATGGATGGGACCAGTGTCTGCAAATAATTTATAGAATTAAAAAGGAGAGAATGATCCTACATGGGAAGCAGGATACACAGTAGACTCACAGAATGGCAAAAGCCCTAAACAGCACTCTGGCCTCAGAATCAGCCCTTAAGGCATTTGGATCTGGCTAAAAAGCCCATGAAAGTTTCTCAGGCATGGAAAGCCAAGACATTGTGGCAAAAAAAAAAAAAAATGACCTAAATGAAAGATCTCTGTGAGTGAGATCCCAGTGGAAAGAACGGGCCATCAAAGAAGGAGGTACCTTTCTCTGAAGGGAGGAGAGAACTTCCACTTTGCTTATGGCCCTGTCTAAATAAGATCAGAGTTGGTGAACTCAATAGGCTTCCATAGCCTTGGTGGCTAATGACAAGAGCCTCAAGTGATTACTGACATCATAAATAAGAGTGTCAAATTGTTAAGTCAACAACAGGAGTCACTGTGCACCTGCTCCCCATGTAGGACCTCTGCCCTTAATGTGCTGTACTTTGTACACTATGAGAATTAATGGTAAAACTACTACTCAAACAGTACTCTATACTTTGTGTGTCTGTGTGGGTGTAGTCTGTTGAAATCTTTACTTAGTATATACTAAGTTGATCTTCTGTATAAAGGTAATTGAAAATGAATCATGATGAAGAATGGGGTGGGAGATGGGATGGTTGCGGGTGGGCGGGAGGTTATGGGGGGGAAACCTGCTGTAATTCAAAAGTTGTATTTTGGAAATTTATATTTAAAATAAAAGTTGAAAAGAAAAAAAAGAAACTTGCTCCCCTAAAATGGGCCTGTTTATTACTCTCAAATACATTTTTGCCCATGTCCCTTTACTCAAGTTGTACCATACTAGGAATACTCACAGTCCCTAGTAAACTGTCCCTTTTTCAGAATTTAGCCAATACCATTTACCATCATCCATGACACATATGTAACACTAGCTTAATGTGTTTTCTTTCAATCAACTCACTTTTCTGCTACAGAATATATTACATTGGTGTTAAGATGCCATTAGGGCACTCACATCTCACATTGGAGTGCTGAGGTTTAATTCCCACTTCCACTTCAATCCAGCTTCCTGCTAATGGGCATCCTGGGAGGCAACAAGTGATGGCTCAAGTACTTGGGTTCTTACCATCCACCTGGAAAACTTGAAAACTTAAATTGAGTTCCAGGATCCTCAGCATTTGGGGTCTGAACCAGTGAATGGGAGCTAGCTTGCTCTCTCTGCCTTTCAAAAAAAAAAAAAAATTTTAAGGGGTCGGCGCTGTGGCTCACTTGGCTAATCCTCCGCCTGCGGTGCCAGCATCCCATATGGATGCCAGATTCTGTCCTGTTTGCTCCTCTTCTAGTCCAGCTCTCTGCTGTGGTCCGGGAAGGCAGTGGAGGATGGCCCAAGTGCTTGGGCACCTGCACCCGCGTGGGAGACCAGGAGAAGCACCTGGCTCCTGGCTTCGGATCAGCGTAGCTCCGGCTGTAGCGACCATTTGAGGGGTGAACCAACGGAAGGAAGACCTTTCTTTCTGTCTCTCCCTCTCACTGTCTGTAACTCTACCTCTCAAATAAATAAATAAATAAATAAAATCTTTAAAAAAATTTTAAGTATGTTTACAAAGAAAACTTCGCATCACTTGGCATAGCAGGTAACTATAAAAACAGCATGAAAGTAACACAAATTGTCAGGAGCTGCTCCATATTCTGAGCCTGAGGGCTGCTCTCTCTGACTATAAGGCAGGTGAGTGTGGGTTAGAGCTGTCCCTATTGACACCAAGCTGAGAAGTTCTCCCTGATGAGATCAGACTAGCTGGAAAAAGGTACATTTTTCCACTGTGCAATTCAGTTATTTCATGCTAGGTCAAAGCACTACCTGAAATCATCTCCTATCATTGATCCACGTGCATCCCACACTTCAGAGAACACTGGCTTAAATGAAAAAACTGACACCTCCTTAGATCTTTCCCTAATTCCACCAACAAAGGTGACCCCTCTCCCACTGCAGTTTTTCATACTTCTAATTTCACACTAATTCTACTTCACCTCACTGTGGTTATTTGTGTATGCATCCTGGCCAGTTAGCTGATTTTTATCAACTTGAAAAATTATTGAGTTAAATATTGTCTGTATGTCCCACAGTGCTCAATAATAACTTGCATTTCACTGGGCACTGACCATGTGGCAGGTCCTGCCCTTAGTACTTTTCATAGATGAGATCATCCACTGAGTTTGCTCCCACTGAGGGATCTGAGCTGGGAATTATTATCACAATTTGTAGGATGTTAGAGGGGTCATCTAACCTGTCAAGGCTCACACAATTAGTGATTCAGAAAGTCAAGGAGCAAAATACAGTGGGAAGAATATTTCACATCTGCACAGGCTGATGGAATCTTAGAATTTTTTTTTTAATTTATTTGACAGATAGAGTTAGACAGTGAGAGAGAGAGAGACAGAGAGAAAGGTCTTCCTTCCACTGGTTCACCCCCCAAATGGCCACTACAGCCAGCGCTACACTGATCCGAAGCCAGGAGCCAGGTGCTTCCTCCTGGTCTCCCATGTGGGTGCAGGGGCCCAAGCACTTGGGCCATCTTCTGCTTTTCCAGGCCATAGCAGAGAGCTGGACTGGAAGAGGAGCAACTGGGACTAGAACCTGGCGCCCATATGGGATGCAGGCGCCGCAGGCGGAGGATTAACCAAGTGAGCCACGGCGCTGGCCCCGAATCTTAGAATTTCTAGCATGAACTAAAAACACTTTTGCTACCTGCTCTAGAAACCTGTGATACTAGCCATTTATCCCAGAACTGCTACATAGAATGTTGGGCCTTTTTTCTTCAAAAAAAATTTGTGTGTATGTACAAAGGCAGAGAGAGAGATCCATCCTCTATCTGCTGGTTGACTCCCCAAATGCCTGCAACAGCCAGGGCTGGGCCAAACCCAAGCCAGGATCCAGGAACTCTATCCTTGTTTCCCACATGGTGGCAGAGGCCCAAATACCAGGGCCATCACCTGCTGCCTTCCCAGGAACATTAGCAGGGAGCTGGATTAGAAGCAGATGCGGAGCAGGCAGGACTCAAACCAGCACATGGAAATGGGATGCCAGCAATGCAACTGGCAGCTTAACCCACTGTGCCACAATGTCAGCCCCTGGAATGCTGGATCTTACCCACTACCTCCCCTCTTTATTTAAAATATATATATATCTAAAATGTTTTCCTCTCTCCAATCAATAAGCCTTCTTGCTGATACCAAAATTAAGATTTTCTGAGAAAATGGTCCCTTTTAATAGAGATGCTGGAGGAAAAATCATCAGGAAATCAGCAATAGCAGTCACTGAGGTAGAAGAACAAAATGATTATGAGCATGAGGGCTGAGGCAGGATCCTAGACCTGTCCCAACATGGCTAAGTAATTACCGTGGGCAAACTGCATAGTCTTTCTGTGCCTCCATTTCCTCATCTGTAATGCAGGTGATGACTGTATGTCTGTGGCGCTTGCTGTTTCCATAATTAGTTAATGTATCCACTTAGCATACAGTAAATGTTTAATAAACATTCTCAAAAAAGGAATAAAGCAGGTTGTGCTTCGTATATACCCACTTCTAATCTCTAACACATTTCATTTTTAAAAAACTATAAAATCCCTCTACTCTTTGAGAATTCTTAAAAACAGCAAAAAATATAGTTTTCACAAATAAATAAGCTTAGAAAAACAAAAGCTCAGGTAAAATACAATGTCAACAGAATTATTCAAAATTGATTTTCCAGTTTTCCCCCTGAGGTGTCAGCAATTTGCTAAGATCTATAAGAGAGACAAACTGCTTTTAATCCTTTGCCATCAATGATAAAAGATGATAAAGTCAAACTAATTTCTTAAAGCCTAAACATTTTTCATTGGAAATTGCACACTAGTCTTTTATACTAAAATTAATTCATATATAAATTGAGGTTTCATATGCACAATAAATTCAAGTTAGATCAGTCATTCTATATTACTATTACAGTTAAGTTATCAAAATTATGATTTCTTTGGACACTTAAGGAATATTTGCTTTTATATAAGTGACAAACTTCATTTGCCCAAATAAGAAAAAGTCTAGTGCCAGAAGACTACATTATTCAGTTTAGGAATATGAGGGAAATTTATATTAATAGTAACAGATACTCTATATTTTCATCAACTAGAAGACATAAATTTACCAAAATAATGTTGCAAGAAGGATTCTTATTAAATGATGTTCTATTTTTCCTGTATTTTTTTCATTTTTCAGACATTTAATATAAATAGTACTCTACATTTACATCATGCTTTCCAGCTGGAAAATCTTTTCCTATATTAAATGAGAGTCTAATTTGTATTTGTTTCCTTCGAAATTGAAGGTGCCTTGTAGGCAGAGATCATTTGTTGTGTACCAATATATCCTTCAGTGCATTTTAAATACGTATGCTGCCTTCAGGAATTAGCTTTGTAATAAAGGCTCTTTTCGGGGCCAGTGCTGTGGCTCACTTGGTTAATCCTCCGCCTGCATCGCCGGCATCCCATGTGGGCACCAGGTTCTAGTCCCGGTTGCTCCTCTTCCAGTCCAGCTCTCTGCTGTGGCCCGGGAGGGCAGTGGAGGATGGCCCAAGTGCTTAGGCCCTGCACCCGCATGGGAGACCAGGAGGAAGCACCTGGCTCCTGATCGGCGCAGTTCCGGTCGTGGCGGCTATTTGGGGAGTGAACCAGCAGAAGGAAGACCTTTCTCTTTGTCTCCCTCTCTCACTGTCTATAACTCTACCTGTCAAATAAATTAAAAAAAAAATTCCTATTCTTATAAGGCACTCACACTTTTTTTTAAAGACAATATTTCTTTTTTTTAATATTTATTTATTTTACTTGAAAGTCAGAGTTACACAGAGAGAGAAGGAGAGGCAGAGAGAGAAAGAGAGATCTTCCATCCTCTGGTTCACTCCTCAATTGGCCACAATGGCCGGAGCTTCGCCAATCCAAAGCTAGGAGCCAGGAGCTTCTTCCAGGTCTCCCACTCTGGTGCAGGGGCCGTAGGATTTGGGCCATCTTCTACTGCTTTCCCAGACCATAGCAGACAGCTGGATTGGAAGTGGAGCAGCCGGGACTCAAACTGGCACCCATATGGGATGCCGGCACGGCAGGCTGCAGCTTTACCCCACTACACCACAGCAGCAGCCCTGGCACTCACACTTTTAAATCAGACTCATTTTTAACTGTTTTAATAAAAGCACTCCATCAGTGATACTATTCCATATTAAAGCAAATATAATGAGGCACAAAAAAGTCTGGTTGTCTCACTTAAGTGACACTATTTCTGATCAAAGGATTTAGTCAGTTACAACATGATCCCTCTGTTTTGAAGTTTCACTTTGCCTTTCCAGCTAATGCTTTCAGACACTGAGAACAGGTGCATGAATATCTTTATTCATTAGATGCTGCAAAATGGTAATGTTCTAATACTAAGCCTCTTGTATTCATTAGCAAGAATTCTGTAAAATGGAATTTACCCTCATCACTTGGGACACCTTGCTCATCCTGAACAGGTTACAATTCATGCAGAAAAGGCAGGATGATTCTTTCCATCTGTTTGCTATTTTTACAGAGTAAGGGATTGGTGCCCTAAGTTTCTTCCAATGTTCAGTATCTCCTATTTCTTCTGAAGATGGTGGGACAGGGAGTGACTTCTTTCTATGAGGCACTGCTACACACCTCTGAATTTTTATATATTCATTGTGCTCAAACACCTCACTCCTTATTTATTCTGATGTTCGAGTTGTCCCACCTTTGTCAAATGGGAGCCTGTCGCTCCCCCTCTTCGTGGAGGAACGACACAGGACCCTGCGCTGTTCTTTTGTCTGCTCGGCCCTCCCCGGGTTTGCTGCTGGTTCTTCCCGGGTTGGCTGCCGTCCCTTCCACCTCAGTGGAAGGGCGATTCCCCCTAGCCACTTTCCCCACTTCCGCAGGGGAGCGGCACACCGCCGGCCGGCTCTCTCGGGGGCTGCACAGGTGTTCCTTCAGATAGATGTTCCTGGTGCATGTTGTCTCTCTCCTCCTTTATGGTCCTCTTCCGCCAATCCTAACTCGGCTGCCCACACGCCGAGTACGCTGCTCTCCTCCAATCAGGAGCAGGATCAGCTCCTGGAGGTCATCACTCAAGTTGGCAAGAGGCAGCTGCGTAGAAGCTGTTTTCTCCTCTCCCAGCGCCATATTGTGGGAGAGCAGATGCATAGAATAAGTCTTAATTCCAGTAACTCAGTCCAGTCCGGGTTGCTCCCCACAGGAGCCTCTTCACGTGGATAGCTAAATCTCTTTAGTTAGGACCTCTTTTTCTAGGATTCTATTTCAGATTCATTTGATATATTTTTTGCCTCAGAACTAGAATTCTTCTGAAAACTTGGAGTTTTCAATCCCCCCTTTTAGTGGGAAACAAAAATGCGTCTTTTAAAATTAACTTAGTCTTAACTCATTTACTTGACCCATCCAAACTTCACTATCATACTATCATAAGCCTCTCAAAACTCGCCTATGACTTACTTGGTAACTGCTATAATCCAAAAGTTGTACTTTTGAAATTTATTAAATAAAAGTTTTCTAAAAAATTTTAAAAGATCAATGACATTAACTCACCAAGTGCTTATGATGTGCAAAGAACTGTTTTAAGTAAGAAACATACTAAGATTTATATAAGGGATCTTTAAAAATTCATGGAAATGTATTTAATGAAAAATTGATGCACAGGTTACATAATTTGTTGACTACAATAAACATGTTTAAATTCCATTTTTATATAAACATCTTAAAACACCCTTATAGGATTTTTCCATACCCTCCAAATACATATAACTTACCTTACTCACAATCTAGTAGGGAGATAGTCACATCACAAAGAACTACCACAATATAAGACTGACTGTGATAAGAACAGGAGAGAACGCTAAAGTCTGAATAAAACCCAAACTCCTTAGCCTCACATATAAGATCTTTTATGATCAGATCTCAGCCTCTGTCTCATCTCAGTTACTCATTCATTGAATACTGCATAACAACAAATAACGAAGCTAGTAATCATAATACAGGCTGGTAAGTCCTAAGTAGAGGCATGAATTGAGGCATCTCCTTCATGAGTTAGTTTTGAGAGGTGAAGGAAAGATTTCTAAAGGACGAATAAGCTAAGCCTTGAAAAGTTGAAGTTATTGAGGAAGGGGGAAAGAGAGTAGAGTTGATGCATTCAGTGCAGGAGCTTAGGGCCAGAGTAAAGGGGAATACGATAATTGAGAATGGGAAAATTAGGAGAGACATGAACTTCTTCATAAGCTGTTACAGTCTAGACTTTCCTCTATGGGCAATGGGGAGCCATTCAAAAGCCTTCAGGAAGGAGTTTCAGGATCAGATTTGTAATGGAGAACAGGCAAGAGAGGGGAAAGAATAAAAGGCAGAGACCAGCTAGGAAAGTACTGTAGGCCCAGAAGGGAGATCACTGGGCCTGCACAAGGGGCAGAGGAAAGAAGTAGATGTTATCCAGACACATTAAAAGCATATGGTGACTGGCTAGATGCAGGGAAACGGGACTCTAGTGCAGGTGATCTGAGGATAACAACATCCTTCTGTGTACTAGGAAGCACAAGAGGAAGGTCAGTTCACAGATGGAAGATGTTGAGTTCTCTCTCGAATGTACTTTCCGGCTGTTTGAGATACAGGAGAAGTAACTAATATCCAGCAGCTGCCTGGGTTTGCAGGCCTAACTCAGGGAGGAGGGCGGCAATAGAGGCACAAATGTGATGGCCACACATAGTACAGTTAGGAGAGGTGAAGAGAAAAGAAAAACACCCCAATGCAATTCTCTCATCCCTTCACACCTTACCTATATGGCTTCTGACTTCCAATAGCAGGAATGAGCTCACTAGCGTATATGGGATCTTGTAAAAGAGTAGCTTTCTGCAAGAGGATCAAAAGGGAAGCTTTAGAATCTTTGCTTACTGACAATCAATTTCCCCTGCCTTTAGTTAATATCATATACAAGGGTAGAAGGCTCAAGACAGGGGCTGGTGTTGTGGCACAGCAGGTTAAGCCACTTCCTGTGATACTGGTATCCCTTTTGAGCACCACCTGACTTTGTCCTGGCCGTGCCGTGGCCATTGTGGCCATTTGTTGAGTGAACCAGCTGAGGGGTGCTCTCTGCCTACTATCTGTCTCAGTCTCTCTTTCAAATAAAAAATTATAAATTTGTTAAAATATGTTTATTTTGGTGCAAAAAATTTTGAAATCCACACCTACTGGGGTCTTTGAAAACTTTATGAGGAAAAATACTATGCATGGATTTCAAAATCTTTTGCATTAAAATAAACTTATCTTTTAATTCTATTTTCATGAACTTTTTGAAGTATCCGCCTGGGAGGACAGCAGAAGAGGGCACAAGTATTTGGGTATCTGCCACCCATGTGGGAGACCCATATGAAGTTCCTGGCTCTTAGGTTGGGACTGGCCCAGCCCAGGCTGTTGTGGCCATTTGGGGAGTGAACAAGCAGATGGAAGACTTCTCTGTCTGTCTCTTTCAGTTAGTCTGCCCTTCAAATAATACACAAAATAAGCCTTTAAAAATTGTTGTGTTTCAGTCTCCGCATTTTATAAACCAAGGAACTTAAACTAGTTACCTCTAGATAAAGTTATCTGCTCCTATAACAATGACTTCCATTAGCCTACTGTTGGTAGTACAGCTAAGAAATACAAAACACACTGACAACTAGAAATTTGAAATTTCCCTGCAGAAGACATCCTGCTCACAAATGTTCCACAGTCTGTCTCCATCTTCCTGATGACTCCCATGAGACACACTATGGCCATCTTGTCTTCCTGCCTCTTCAAAACCCCACTCCCGGCTGTGCTGCGGCTCACTAGGCTAATCCTCCACCTGTGGCGCCAGCACCCCGGGTTCTGGTCCCGGTTGGGGCGCCGGATTCTGTCCTGGTTGCTCTTCTTCCAGTCCAGCTCTCTACTGTGGCCTGGGAAGGCAGTGGAGGATGGCCCAAGTGCTTGGGCCCCTGCACCCACACGGGAGACCAGGAGGAAGCACCTGGCTCCTGGCTTCGGATCGGTGCAGCGCGCCGGCTGTAGTGGCCATTTTGGGGGTGAACCAACGGAAGGAAGATCTTTCTCTCTGTCTCTCTCTCTTTCACTGTCTAACAACTCTGCCTGTAAAAAAACCAAAAACCAAAAAACAAAACAAAAAAAAACACTCCCTGTTAATGCGCATTTTCTCTATTTTGCGATAGCCTGAATAAAACCAAACCCATAATTGCCCAATGCATTTTGTCTTTCACAATATTATTAAAGCTCAAGACTAAATTTCCAAAATGGGGAAGTTGAGCAGGAAAGACATGTTTGTCATTAAACAAAACAAAAACTCAGTTCAAGGCTAACTTATGAAGGCACTTACAATAATATAATTGTTCCATGAACTTTTTAAGTGGAGAAAGATAGATGAGGTGGTAGAAATAATGTACAAATGAAGTTCCAACTCCTTTTTCTCCAGGTTTGTGCTGCTCTGTAAAGGGGATGTTAGGAGGGAATTTTCTAAATAAAACTCATTTTTGTTCCCATTGCACTTGAAAGGGACTTCACATAGAGAATCTTTGTGAGCTGCAAAGTCTTGGGGTTTTTTTGTGTTTGTGGTGCAAGAAGTCTTGCTGATGGCCTTGCCAGTAGCTGGTGTGGACTGACAGCTCCTCCTGGAGGGAGAAGGCAAAGGTTGAAAGGCACCTTGGCCATGGAGGGACAGCTTCTTGAAGTTTGGGGAAGGACAGAGAGTTGAGTCCTTGGTCGGTGCGCTGCTCTCCAGGCAGTACCTGTCAGGTAGACATTAGTGTTAAACATGACATTTAGAATTGAACAGTAAGGAGCAGAGAGCCCCATAACCCAGTGCAGCAGTTTCAGACTCTGAAAGCAAATGTTTTCACATACTTGTAAATGGAATGCTTGTCAAGAGAAGGGAGTGATTTAACCTCACTTGCTACTACCCACTGACTAGGAAAGGTATGGCACGGCAATCCTCCAGAATGTATTTTTTTCTTTCAAAAATAAAACTCTACTCAATGTCATATGAAGAAGCACTTTTCATTTTGGAAGCATGATGCAATCCTTCATAGAGCCCCAATATTTCCAAAGAAAGGACTTTTCAGTCCAATTTTGAAATCAGGTTGCCCTTCCATTGTGTAACTGCTATTAGATACTATTAAGAAAAAAATGTTCATAGATATATAGGGGTGGGCACTGTGGTACAGCAGTTAAGCTACCAATTAAGACACCTATATCCTATACTGGAGTGCCAGGATTTGAGTCCCATGTACACTTCTGATCCAGTTTCTAGCTGATGCACACCCTGAGTGGCTGCAGATGGTGGTTCAAGTACTTAGGTCCTTGCCACCCAAGTGAGAGACCATGATGGAGTTCTGGGCTCCTGGCTTTGACCTGGCCTACACCTAGCCATCATGGGCATTTGGAGAGTAAACCAGCAAATGGAAGATTTCTCTCTCCCTCTGTTGCTCTGCTTTCAAATAAATGAAAAAGTTTTTAAAGATATAAAAAGAGGTGCTTAAATGGTATTTTCTTCAACCTCTAGTTAATTATCTAATGTTCCCCATATCATCCCAATAGCACTGGCACTTTTCCTAGAATCAATGCTGTGTCGCATCTCTTTAGCATCTCTTCTCTTCAGCTCAGTAAGTCTATTTTCTATTTTGCTGTACAGGAAGCAAGGTAGTGAAGCTAAAACACTGCAGAGCTGGATCAGATCCAAATTCCTATCTTTGCCCTGGTAGGTATGTGACCTTTGTTAAATAAAGTTTATGGAGGCCATTACCTTGGACCAGCCGACTGCACTAGACCCTAACAACGAGACCACACCACACCACACCACAACACAACACTAAGGTGTCACTTAAGCTAATGCCACCAATCAGGCTGAAATTTGAACTGGGTTAGTTTCCAAAAAACAAAAACAAAACAGGAGATATCAGTCAACCTGAGTTGGAATAAGGAGAAAATCCACTATACTTTAACCATACAAGGAAAGCACTTTGAAATGACCAATTCATTTTCTGTCTCTGTTTCTGCTTTCGGTCTATAAATCTAACCTCATCTGATCAGATCATCAGAACATCCATGCTATTCTACAGAATGAAGCATTGCCTGATTTTAGAATCACAAACATTCTAGAATCACCTATAAACCCAATTAGGTTTGTTCAAAGAAGAACCTTAGACAAGTTAAATTTAACACAGTTTAACTGAGCAAAGAACAATTTGCAAATTGGGACGCTTGGAGAACCAGCGCAGGTTCAGAGAACTCTGACCTGTGATGTGGTCAGGCAGCAAGCAAGGACAGAAGGTGGAGGGTGAAGATAGCTTGGTGAATTACAGCTGGGCATCTTGCCTTATGTGACTTCACTTGGCTGCCTGTGATTGATGGAGGCTCAGCTGCTGCAAGATTAGGTTATTTATTAGACAAGAATATATTCTGAGGATAGGCTTTCAGTTTATATACTGGATTAGGCTGTAGTTCATTAGGTAAGAACTCAAGTATAAAAGCACCCTTGGGTCAAATTTAATTTAACTTAACAGACATCTAAACTAAGTTTGTGTTAATTTTGTCTTTTGACACCTTACTTGACCTAAACCTTGATTTCTTCATTTAAAAATAGGAATGATCATAGCACCAATCTCAGAGTTTCTGTAAAGACTGAAGAAAATACAAGGAATGTGTATGTAATTCTGGAAACAATAGGAACTAACTAGCTACTGCTATTACCCTATATTGCCTTGAGTTGAGGTTCCATAAGATTAGAAGTTCCATTTGGCTTTTATTACCCCTTCAGTTAATTTTAAATAAACATAAAATTCATGTACTATCTGCACAGCGCTATCAAAAATGCTGAATTCCCATCTCCAATTCCCTCCTCCACTGACCTTCCAGTTGTGTGCACACACACGCACTCACACAGAGCAGTGGTCACCCCGGGTCTCTCATCCAAGTTCTCCCTTCCCCCTTGCTAAGCCCTCAGGCTTAGGAGTGCACTATGCAAGCTGACATTGTGGGTTTTTTTTTTTTTTTTTTTTTTTTGACAGATAGAGTTAGACAGTGAGAGAGAGACAGAGAGAAAAAGACAGAGAGAAATTTCTCTCCGTTGGTTCACCCCCAAATGGCTGCTTCGGCCGGCGCTGTGCCAATCCGAAGCCAGGAGCCAGGTGCTTCTTCCCAGTCTCCCGGGCGGGTGCAGGGGCCCAAGCACTTGGGCCATCCTCCACTGCTCTCCCGGGCACAGCAGAGAGCTGGACTGGAAGAGAAGCAACCGGGACTAGAACCTGGTGCCCATATGGGATGCCGGTGCGGCAGGCGGAGGGTTAACTGAGGGAGCCACGGCGCCGGCCCCAACATTGTGGTTTTAGACTGTAGTCTAGGAGAGAAACACAGGACCTGTGGGATGACACATGGCATAGCCAGGTATTAGCATGTGACTGGATGTATTATTGTTTATAACGCACAATAATTACTGAATATCAATTAGTTCATAAGGTTCTACATGTACAGTGTCATTAAAGTGTCTAAGAATATAGGATGCTTACACTAGGATTTTTAGATAAATGGATATTATAGACTGAATGCTTGTGTCGCCTCCAAATTCAGATTTCATATCCTAACCTCTAATGTGTTGGTGTTAGAAGGTAGGCTTTTGAGAAGGATTAGGGCCCTTATAAAGGAGACTTCAGATACTTCCCTTACCCTCTTTCTGTTATGTGAGATATAACAAGAACTTGGCAGTCTGCAACCCAGAAAAGGGTCCTCACCAGAACTTGACCACACTGGCATTCTAATCTCGGACTTCCATCCTCCAGAACTGTGACGAATAAATTTCTGTTGTTCATGAGCCACCCAGGCTGTGGTGTTATATTAGCCTGAACTGACTAACACAGTTAATATGTCTAGATCAGAAACGAATGAAAATACCTCTTTGAAAAAATACATTTATTTTTATTCTTGCAGATGATACTTTCTAGAATTTTCTCTATGTAAATTGAAGAAAATTAAATAACTATGTGGGGAGCAACCCGGACTAGACTGTTACTGGAATTAAGACTTATTCTATGCATCTGCTCTCCCACAATATGGTGCTGGGAGAGGAGAAAACAGTTTCTACACAGCTGCCTCCAGTTCAGCCAACAAACTGTAGGACTTGCTCCTGATTGGAGGAGAGCAGCGTACTTGGCGTGTGGGCAGCCGAGTTAGGATTTGCGGAGGAGGACTATAAAGGAGGAGAGAGACGGCATGCACCAGGAACATCTAAGGGGAACATCTAAGGGAACACCTGTGCAGCCCCCGAGAGAGCCGGCCGGCGGTGTGCCACTCCCCTGCGGAAGTGGGGAATGTGGCCAGGGGGAACTGCCCTTCCACGGAGGTGGAAGGGACAGTAGCCAACCCGGGAAGAACCAGCAGCAAACCCGGGGAGGGCCGAGCAGACGAAAGAACAGCGCAGGGTCCTGTGTCGTTCCTCCGCGACGAGGGGGAGCGACAAACTAGAGTGCACAGATAATGATATGTGATGTTACGGATTTATGTTAAAGTGTTCTATACAGAATATGTTTCATATGAAAGTTCAGTGAGAATGATTTCAGGAAATGTTAAAGTCTCACTATAAGTAACTTTTATTTTCTCCGTTGTGCCAAAAAAATTATTTTGGAGAGTTAAAAATTGCTTGGGGCCAGTCCTGTGGCAATGTAAGTAAAGCTGCTTCCTGCAGTGCCAGCATCCCATATGGGTCCCAGTTCAAGTCCAAGCTGCTCCACTTCTGATCCAGCTCCCTGATAATGTGCCTGGGAAAGCAGCAGAAGATGGCCCAAGTCCTTGGGCCTTTGTACCCACGTGGGAAACCCAGAAGAAGCTCCTGGCTCCTAGCTTCGGATTATCTCAGTGTTCAATTGGAGAATGAACCAGAGGATGGAAGATCTCCCTCTTTCTCTCTGCCTCTGCCTCTCTGTAATTCTTCCTTTCAAATAGATAAATAAATAAACATTTTTAAAAGGGGGAGGGGTTTCTTCTCACTGTATACAACATATAAAAATATTAGGTAATATATTTTGCTAATTAGCTAGATTTAGCCATTCTATGATGTATACATATTTCAAAACATCATGTTATATACCATACATATGCATAATTTTATGTCAACTTGAAAAGATAAATAAAATCTTTTTAAAAACAAGTTTCTAAAATGGATTTTTTGACAGCATGAATGAATATATCACGAGCATTATATCTTCCCCATTTAAACAAGGGAACTCATTAAACTGCTTTCTTAAGGTGAAAATCAATACTTCCTTTATTGTCCAATTAAAAAACAAGAGTTTCAAAATAATGAATTTGCACATTTGCAAACTTCATATTTACAGGACTAAGTTGCTCAAAGTCAAGTGGTTCTCTAACAAGCTAGTCACTATTTCTAAGGAAAATCAAGCCACAAAGGAGAAAAGAGAAGCTAGAAAGAGAACACAAGAAATCAAAAGTGGGGGCCAGCGCTGTTAGGAAAGTTAAGCCTCCACCTGCAGTGCTGGCATCCCATATGGGCAGCTGTTTGGGTCCTGGCTGTTCCACTTCCAATCCAGCTCGCTGCTAATGTGCCTGGGAAAGCAACAGAAGATGGCCCAAGTGCCTGGGCCCCTGTACCCACATGGGAGACCTAGAAGAAATTCCTGGTTGAAACAGAACATTATTTGTTTGAAATTCAGGCAGCAACCATTTTAAAATATGTTATTTGAAAGACAGAGATCTCCTATCTGCTGGTTCACTTCCCAAA